GAGCTCTCTCCAAGCACGTCTGGCCAGCTTGGCTGTCAGGCCCCGCCCCCCCACTGCATATTATTTTTAATGTAAAGTGCTGAGTTGTTACTGCTTCACCCTGCTTATTCTTGACTGTTGTTTAACTGTTTTTTTTTCGTTTAAAATATTTTTTTAAATTAAATATATTTCATTTATAGTTTTTGAGTTAGAATATTTGCTAGCCACCCTGTGTTATGTACTTTGCATATAGTCAAACAACTTACCCATTGCCATCGCTCCAGATTTGTTGGTTTTTCTGGCGCAGAATCTAGGAACAAAACAAGTGTTAAAATGTGTTTAAAAAAGTGCTAAAATGAAAGTCGAAAACTTTACTTCATTTAATAGATATCATGAGTCACCCTCCAGTCAGATACCCCCCCCCCCCATTCTGTTTTTCAAGCATATTTTACCAGTTACCAAGATTCCCTTTATGTTTCAATACACTTTAATGCAATTACAAAAAAAAGAAAACTTTAAGATTTATGCACCTGATTTCTTCCAGCACCCATCATCCAAAAATCAAAAACTCCTGAAATCTTCCGGCACACCATAAAAAGCCTCTGTGTTAAAGCACTCTACAGCCCCTTCATTTTTTCAGTAAACTGATGTTCCAGCACCCACACAGCAATTTCAAAAAAATCCCTTATTTTCAATCACCCAAAAGACAATTGTCAAGAGCCCAGGAGTCAAATCCTGGGGAAAAAAAACTCACCCAAGATTCCCTCCCCCCTCCACCTCTTCCCCCTCTCCCTTCTACCCCCTCTCCTCTCTCCCCTCCCCGCCACCATCTCTCCCTCACTGTGTGCTGGATGATGTGTGTGTTAGGGGGGGGAAGCATTTTTTTTTTTAATTTATGTGTGTATATTTTATTTTATTCCCCCCTCCCTGCTTCTTACCTTGTCAAGGAGGGGGGAGATCGCCTGGTGGTCCGGTGGTATGGTGGAGGGAAACCAGCCGCTGCACACGGCGGCCCAGCACACTCTGTGTTCCCTCTCCAGCTCTAACTCTCGCGAGACTCGCCTGTGCGCTGTGCGGAGCGTTGTCATGGTAACCTGTGACAACGCTCTGACAGGCGCGGGTCTCGCGAATGTGTGCTGCAGCTGGAGAGGGAACACAGAGTGTTCCGAATGGTACTGATAAATTCAGTTGATTCTGAAAACCTTAAAGGGACACTATTGTCACCCAGACCACTTCAACTCAATGAAGTGGTCTGGGTGCCAGGTCCCTCAGGTTTTAACCCTTCAGATGCAAACATAGTAGTTTCAGGGAAACTGCTATGTTTACATTTGGGGTTTATCCAGCCTCTAGTGGCTGTCTTCCGATCCAGTGACGTCGGATGGCTCCGTTGACGTCGGCGGGGGAGGAGAGGTCACCAGCGCCGAGGGATCCCTGCGCTGGAATAAGGTAAGCTGCTGAAGGGTTTTTTTACCCCTTCAGCACCATGGGAGGGGAACCCTGAGGGTGGGGGCACCCTCAGGGCACTATAGTGTCAGGAAAACCGCTTTGTTTTCCTGACACTATAGTGATCCTTTTACATTTTGATCATGCATTAGGACAGTGTTTCTCAACCTTTATGGAGAGTACCCCTGCAGATCTAAAGAAATTTCATAAGTATCCCTGTCTTGAGAAAGTAATTTCTATTGATTTTAAATTCCAAATGAAATGTGTAGATACTGATATTTAAATAAATCCCATTTTGGACAGCAAGCCTGATTAAAGGTAATAAGGAATATTTTTAAAATAAATGACATAATGTGAATATTGTATGTAAGGAAGAATGTACGAACTATTAATGTGAATAAAAGTCACAAAATAAAAATTTAATAGACACAATATAGTTACACACAGAGGACACTGACACACACAAGGAACAAATTACCCTGCACTCTATGCTCACATAACTTTTTTTTTTATTGTGTTTTATTAACAATAATAGATGTTTTTGATAATAATTATTAAAATCAGCTATTGTGAAAGGTACTCTTCCCCAGCATTATCCCATTGTTCATAGTTCACTTTTCTATTTCACTTATACCCCTCCCAATATGGCCACCTAGCTGTTTATAGCTATCTAGTACCCTCCCAAGATGGCTGCCATATGTGACCTCTTGATCACGCTAACTTTTACAGCACGCCTCTTTTGATGTCTCTATTATTGGAGAGGCATACTCTTTGCTTTTCCCATGCCTCGGCCCACTCTACGTCCCAGTCGTGTCTCCGCTCCTCCCTTGGGCAAATCACATGTCCGGCCCTTTTCTTTCCCCTTTAGGGTCTGATCGAGCATTATGCTGTCTTGGGCACCGGACTACATAACCCATAATTCCTCAATAACATAGTTATGTGCTCGGCCATTGCTATAACGCGATCGGCCAATATGAACTTCATACCCCAAAATGCATTGCGCCTTAATGCCATGATATACAAGCCACACCTCCTACACTTTATATTATTATTATTGGTATTTATATAGCGCCAACTAATTCTGCAGCGCTTTACAATATTATGAAAGGGGGAAATTTACAATAAATTAGACAATTACACAGCGACACAGGAACAATAGGTAGATGAGGGCCCTGCTCAAACGAGCTTACAGTCTAGAGGAGATGGGGTACAAATACACAACAGGGCAGCAAGGGTGATCGCCACCCAACAAGGTGGAAAAGTAGCAGAGCTGGAGGTGAGAGTGGAGTGTGGCTCTTTTAGGAGAGCGAGAGACAGATTTGGATAAGTATAGGTAAGTTACTCTGGGAGTCCATACAAGCATTTCTGAACAGATGTGTTTTGAGGGACTTCTTAAATAGTTGAAGACTAGGGGAGAGTCTGATGGGGGTAGGCAGGCTGTTCCAAAAGAAGGGAGCCGCCTGCGAGAAGTCCTGCAAGCGCGAGTTATATGCTCTGGCACCTTTCTTTTAAGCACTCGTTTTTGTTGTTTATGATTTTACCATACAAATAGTGTTAGATATATTGTATAATTTAATGTTTTGTATCTCCAGTCAGAGTCACGTGATAACAAGTGCGGTCACGTGACAAAGTAATTTTGGCACCAATTTTCTAAACTGAAGTGTTTTGAAGCCTATATAAACATATTGCCAGGTTTTATCCACTTGAAAAAGCCCTAAAGGGAGAAACACGTTGTGGTTTTTATCTTATTTCTTTTCTAATAGTATTTTTGGCTACCTTATTATCTGCTGTAAGCCATATACTTTTTAGCATTTATTTATAGTCTTATTTCCACCTGACATCTGGATTGAGTTCCCTGCGGACTACCATTAAAGAATCCTATGTGGGGATTATACCCACCATGTTTGATACATAGAGCGGTTAATCTGCTCATTTTATTGTAACTATTTTATTTTATAAATACTTACCTATATAGAGAGCACTATTGGTTTCTTCTTGTCATTCCACATGGTCTACTTCATCGCAGTCCTGCTATGATTTGCCGGATATCCTACAAGTAGGGATTAAAAACCACTAAATTTTTTACATAGAGTCGGTTATAGCTCCATCAAATGTGAGTTGACAACTTTAAGTATACTCCACTACCATATTGCACTATTGGTCCTCGCTTGTCTTTGCTTTTTTTTTTCCAAGTGCTGTTACTAATGGAAGTTGCCCAAAAAGCACCGTACAAGACCTAGAAGATGGGTTGTTACCTCTAAGACTGTGCCCTATCATTTGGTATTTTTATATTCTTTTCAATTCTGGACTTTACTGTGGACTCTTTTTATTTCATTTTTTAGTGTGTTTTATTGGTTGTAACAGAGTTATGTGTATTTTTGTCTAGTGTGTTATTTTCCTTGGCGCTACCTGTATTTTTGTTCTACTAATTTAATAAATAACAGTCTTACTGGTGGCGGACATATTGATTAACATAGCAAGCCTTTTATTAAAGTATCTACTAGGCTAATGCTGTCTTTGTAGATGAGGTATTACATCTTGCAGATAAGAAGTATATAAATTACAGAGGGAGACTGTTTATAACCCCAGTACATAGTTTATAACCCCAGTACTTAGTAGGGCGCATTAAAGGGACACTATAGTCACCAGAACAACTACAGCTTAATGTATTTGTTCTGGTGAGTATAATCATTGCCTTCAGGCATTTTCATGCAAACACTGCCTTTTCAGAAAAAAGTCGTCAGTGTTTACATTCCCCCCTAGGGACACCTCCAAGTGCCAATCCTCAGATGGCCACTGGAAGTGCTTCCTAGCTCAGTGCTATACAGTAGGCAGCACTTTCGTTCAGGGTCTCTACGCTCTGCATGGGGTCCCTGAATTTTTAATGCATTTCTATAAGAAAGGTGCTGATTGGCCAAAATAGCGTTTGGCCCCACTCCCATGCCGATTTTAGCCAATCCAATGCTATCTGGGGAAAGCATTGCATTGGTTAAGAATTAACAATTCTGATGTTTACAAAGGAGGCGGATCGAGGGTGGGGCCAGTGCCAGCAGACCCGCGCAGCTCTGGAATTAAGGTATGTTTTAACCCCTTCTAAAGATGTTGGGGGGACAAGCCATCTAAATGGTGTGTTTAACATAGGGTCAGGAATACATGTTTATGTTCCTGACCCTATAGTGTTCCTTTAACATCCAAGGTATTTAGTCACACATTGTAGCTGTTATACTTTACATTAGCAGATTGGGATGACTATTTACAACCAGAGGTATCCTCTATACCAGGGCTGCCCAAAAGGTAAACCCCATGATGCTTTGCATTCCTTTAGCATACCTTTAAAATGACATAGATTTAAAACATCTGAGGATCTACCTTTTGGGCACCCTCAGTTATATACACACTATCCTCCATTTACATTACTTGATTTACCTTGTGCTTTCAACTATATTGGAATATTGGAACTAGTACTGATCTTGGGGGAGGGGGCCCTCATAGAACAGCTGCAAGAGCAGAGTTCACCTAAGCAGTAAACCAGATCAATATTAAGTAGGCTTATAATTAATCTGTTTATAAGATATATGCCTTCCTCGTAGCTTCTAACTAGAAGATATTTTTACACTCTTTCATCCCTTTTCATGCTTAAACATGTCATGCTTAAATATTGTATTAACATGCACATTGAACAACAACAGTGAGACTGCAATGCTACCTTGCTTAATTATTATTGCGTTTTGCCATGTCTAACATGTCCCGTCAATTAGGTCGGCAACTGTGAAGCTAAGTCGCTTAGGGGGTCCGGTGTCAGAGAGATGCACCCTGGTGGGTCTTTGGGCTAATTAGCCCCCGAATATGCCCTTATAATAATTGTGTTATTTTACAATTTATTATATGGTATTTGATTTTATCATTATTGCGGTCCCTGAAGAAGTTCCTACCAGAACGAAACGCGTTGGACCTATCGCTGCATTCTTATTTTTTATACTTATGGTGTTTTTCACCTTTTAAATAAATAATATAATTTGATTTTGACCATCTACCTGGAGTCCCGTGTACCATTGGTTATCTCACAGTGACAAGGGAACTACTAGCTCCCACATCATCAGGGGAGGCACCTTGTGAGCGCTTATTTCTACGCTATCTCGTGAGTGCATTTATTAACGGCGCAAGATCTATTGTGCATACTGTATTACACTATTTTGTTTTCATATGTTCTCTTTATAGATTATACAGCCTTATCCCGATTCTGTTTGTGGTTGTCTGTACTTTGTAAAGGTCGTTTGTTGTGGATAACGATCTCGGGAGGCTGCACATTAATTGAAGCTAATTAATTTACACTACTGATATTGTGGTGTTTAAATTTGTTTCTTTTGCATGAAAACACAACTGTTTCATTGTCAATCAGATGTAACTTACTTTAGACATTTTTATCTTCTGCTCTGTAAATTAAACTTTAATTACACACAGGAAGCTCATGCATGCTCTACAAGGCTATTAACAGAGCAGGAGATAAGAAGTTGTAAATTAAACAGAATTTGTAATAAAGGAAGTATAAACATTAGATGACACTTTACAGGAAGTGTTTAGGAAGGCTGGGCAAGTCACATGCAGGGAGGTGTGACTAGAGATGCATAATCAAAGAGATACAACTGATAAACTGAAGAGAATTGAGCATTGAGAAAGCAGGGGCATGATCTGTACATCAAAACTGTTTCATTACTGGAACATTATAGGGTCGGGAACACAAATGTGTATTCCTAATCCTTTAGTAAAAAACACTAGTCTTAAATAAAGGAAAATCATACATTTATTCTCAATAAGGGGGCAGGGGCGGAGCTAAACACAGCCCTAGCCAATCAGCATCTCCTCTAGAGATGCATTGAATCAATGCATCTCTATTGGGAAAGTTCAGTGTCTCCATGCAGAGCGTGGAGACGTTAAACATCAGCAGCACTGACCCAGGAAGCACCTCTAGCAGCCATCTGAGTGACTGCCACTGGCGGTGTCCCTAGGCAGCAATGTAAACACTGCTTTTTCTCTGACCATTGGGGACACATCCACCACATATATGCAGGGATCTTCATTAAACTGGGACTTACCAGGAATTCAAAGATAATTCAAAATTTTACGCCAAACTAGCTATAAAAATTCTCCAATTAAAAAAAAATAAATAAAAGAATATAAATATACACACATGCAGGGCAAGGCCATCACTATAGTACAGAAGTCAGTTACAGAATTTTAGGAGCCAAATTAAAAATGTTTAGGTGCCGATGTTTGTGTCAGATCATGATGCTGTATTGTAGACATAGAATGACACAGCAAGTCCACACCCAATAAATATCTAAATATACCTGGAAGGTCTAACGTTTCATAGCAACGTTGGGTGTGACAATTGCTCTGCATACTGCAGAGAGTTTGTGAAATAATCCCTGATATAGCTTTCCATAATAATGTACCTGCATAGCATGCACCATTTACTATAACATATTCTGAAAACAAGGATCTAGCAGGTTAATCCCTCCACCACCTGTCACAGAGCTCCAATGTGAAGAGCATGCACACATACCGATATTAAATAACAATGTGATATGTATATATATTAAGGACAATATTTGGGCTATGTAATACAGGGACAGAGTGGGAGAATTCTCCCCTTTAACAACACAAGACCTTTTGTCTTTTCTATGGGAGAAGAACATTTTCCTGTTTAATGTCAACTATGTAACATTAAACAATCACTGTAAACCATTTTAGCTGATACCAGTTTACATACAATCTGCACGTATCTTATCAGTGGGAGTGCCCCAATAAGAATAGACCCCAAAAATCTAAATCAGAGCCCATGATTGAAGAGTCTCCCTGGTTATTGAGGAGTGTGTCTGTAGCTGCAGTCAGACCCACTAAACAATGCATCTGGAGGGAAGATTCACAGCAACTGGCTTTCTTTTAAATATTTGAACTCATTTCTAATGGATTAGTTTCCTATAATGCATTAAAAAAATTAATGGAATTATGCAGACAATATTGCTTCCATTTAACATCCCTCTCACACTTACCTTCACATAGCTCACCGCCCCCACTTCTGCAGAGTTGGGAAGAAATGGCTGAGACCCTTTCTCATATCAGTTTCGTTTCCTAGTTTAGAAAGCAAAGGATGGGCCTGAAATCAGAGATCACAGTGGGCAGTGGCTTAGCACAAGGAGGAAATGGCAAGAGTAAAAACTGCACACAGAGTGTTACTTATCGTGACAATAGCTAGCAAAAAAAGTGCAACTATTAGATCTGAGTTAACAGCTCTGAAGCAAAAGAATTCTGTAAAACCAGAATTATTATTTTATTTATTTTGTTATTCCCTGTGTATTAAGAGATCATAATGACAATGAGAAGGATTATAAATTGACTGTTATGCTGTTTTTTTTATAACAGAATATAATGGGTTAAATGGAATTTGAGTATATGGACTTTTTTTTTTTTCTTCAACTTAGTTCCAATTTCCCACCATAACTGCAGTAAATAAAGGTGCTTCATTTTTGCAAAACCATTGTATGTCAAGTTTTTAATCACCATGAGCACTATAGCGTGCCCCTGGTTGCTCCCCATTAAAGATAAAGAAAAAATAAACACGATAAAAAACTTAACATTAAACTAGTGACAGGTCTTTGTCTCTTGTGCAGCGGCACCATATCTGCTGAAACGATGATGTTTGTCCAATTCAGTGTTCCACTGGTCCTAAACCACCCACCAGTTCCAATGACCTACCTCTCAATGTTGGGAGATATGAATACTAATAAGAGAAGTTGAATTTACAGGCCAGTGACTGTTTCCTTGGAAGGACAATTATTGATTAGTGATCTGAGAAACATGCTGATCGCTGCCAATGTAACTTCAGAAATAGCAGTTCATAGGATAGGATATTGACAGTTTCTTTATATATTTTTTTCCCCTTCTCTTTTTTTATTTGTTGTAAATATCTTTTTATTAGATTTTTTTTTGTGGTTAGCATTGAAAGTTTAAACTGTATATTAAAGTCATAGTATGGACACGCAGGTCCCACCAGTTGTATAATGCATCGAGTTGGCAAGAAAATTTCCGGTATCATTGATATTTGTCGGAGACGCACAGGTCTCCACGTTTAGCAGTTAACATTTACTTGGTGGACTTGCAGGTCCCATAATATATTAATATAAATTATATATATATATATATATATAAATAATTTATATTAACATACAAGGTTATGTTAGCTCATCATTAACTAGTACTAATGGCAGCTTCCACCGTATTTACTTAACTTAGGCTCGTAGGTCTCGTGGCTAAGGTACAGTGCAGAGGCTTGCAGGTCACTTGTCAGGCATTAGGTGTGGAATTGAGCAGAAAGACGCCCACAGGCCCTCGACCCTTACACAGCTATGGGTGATATGTATGTATATGTGTGTGTGATGGGTACCTTTTGTCCGGTATAGTGGGGTCATGTGTGATGTGCTAGGCAATATAGGCCCTTGTTGGTTGTTAAGGGATTAGCATTGAGGCTAAAGGAGTAGGGGGTTCCGTTCAACAGTGGTTCGTTAATGTTCTGTGTAGGGTTAGTGCCTTAGCTTTCTTCGACAGGGGGAAGTACTGTAAAGCTTGGTGACTTCCCTTCATACTAAATGTATCTATCCATGGTCTCTACAGCTCGACATGCTTGTCACTCTGTCCCGTAGTTGTTTCCACAGTTTATTCCTTTACTTAGTGGTTTCCCTTGTTTTTAAAATTAAACTAGGGTTGTATATGCAGTAATGCCCAGACACTGGTATAAATAAAAAAATTAAAATACCATTGCGCAGTTCAGGAGATAAACCACAATGCTAAAAGTTAAAATATCACAAATCCTAAAATGGCATTATTTCCCTAGAATATAAAAATGTGTTTGCATGTATATAAAACAAATAAAGTCTATAACAAACACAAAAATGCCCATCAGTCATGGAGGAAAAGGCTATTCAAAATCCTAAACACACACATTCTAGACTAGAGAATGACCTTGTTTGTGATAATGTACTCCTGAATTTGTCCAAACTCTGAAAAGTATGAGGTGAAATTGGATTGACTACTAGCAGCACAGTTGTGGATACATTGATGTTAAACGATCATCTTGGGTTGCTCTAACTCTTGTGCAGAGAGAACCTGCCCGTCATTTGGTTCTGATATATAAATGGTATAGGTTCTCTCTGTAATGGCACAAGTAAACATAAATATTGAGACCTGAGCGGGCACAAATCAAAGGGGAAGCTATTAAGGTTTCACTCGTTACCAGAGATCTAATATTCTCTGTTCTTGTTGCAATGCATTTACATTAACTTTAACAATGGTGTTTTTCCTCACTGTATCCTTTTGTCTCAAAACACATTATCACTTTAGACTGTAAGCTCATGGGGCTCTTGCGCATAGCACTTTGTAGGAGGTACTGCATGCATTACATTAGGACACAGACCATATTCTCTGCTCGGTTTGTATCAGGGTGTCTTATCCCTCTCTCTGTTAACTCACTTATGTTTTTCTTGATATTATATTGGAACTATAAAATACATGGAAGGATTGTATCAATTACACCACTGGAGTTTTGCTTATATCTCATATGAGTAGTTACTGGATATACTTTTAGGTTCTGATGATTTTTCCCCTTTACATTTTTCACCAGCACAATCAACCTCAATAAATTACTACAGTTTCAAAATCCTGCAATATTACTTTAAAACACACTTTGTTTGGTTTATTTTTATTGCTATAGATTCAAAATGTTACACTGAGCTCAGCTTCGAGTTATACATGTAGGTGTCACTGCTCTAAAACAGTTGTAAATAGTCACGTTTAGCTTTTAAAAGGAAGCACGATGGGGTTTCAGCATTTTTGTTATGTGGAAGCATTAAGACACTACCGTTAAGGTGCTTTAAAAACTTTGTGTTCCTTTTCTTCTGTCTACCACCAGATTCTCCTATTTTGGAAAACTTTTGACGCCTATTCAGTATGAAGTGCTGACTCAATAATTCACTGCGTGCAATGCAGAAAGCTGATGAATTCAGCTAAAGGTATAGCTATGAATTGGAAGATTTGCTAAATGTGCATCATATTTATTAATGGATAAGACCAGACAGCTTCTATACTTACCTTGCGCCTTCCTTGCTCTGCTCTTTACTGCAGCTCAGCTCACACTGGTCTCAGTAACCGAGTTGCATGTGTACTAATGGATAGGGGTCAAGCCAGGAATTGTACAAAGGATGCATGGTTAAGGAGGCTGGCTTACGCTGCAGAAATCTGCAAAATATTATACTCTTAACAGAATTGAGCAATTACAAGGAGATGGCTGGCATGTGTGAACTACAGTATATACTCGAGTATAAGTCTAGTTTTTCAGCACATTTTTTGTGCTTAAAAACACCCACTCGACTTATACTCAAGTTGCTGTCTGCATTATGGCAACTTAGAGAGCCGCGGCCGTCAGAGCCATGGCAACGATCCGCGCGGCAACCAGACCGCGAGACTTACAGTGGAGCTGACCGGAACGGAGGAGAAGGGAGCTGACAGGAGCTGCAGGAAAGGTAAGTAAATGCTTCCTGCCGGCCCCCCCCACTTCACAGCCCATGCCACTGGACCACCAAGGATTAAGATAGCCCCCCTCCCCGACCAGTTAACAAGCAGGGAGGGGGTGACAAAAAAAAATTTCAATAATAAAAAAATATTAAAATAAAAAAAAAATTAAATAATAAAAATGCCCTCCCCCCTCCCAGTTCACACACACTACACAAACACACACTCTGCATTATATACACACTCTGCATTATATACACAGAGTGTGTGTATATAATGCAGAGTGTGTGTTTGTATGAGTGAGTGTGTGTTTGTATGAGTGTGTATAATTATAAAAATCACAGAATTTCATAGCCCCAAGTTTTACCCTCGACTTATCCACGAGGCATAGCATATTTCACAATGGTTGGTCACAAAACTGCACTCGACTTATACATGAGATCGACTTATAGACGAGTATATACGGTACTACCTAACCGGAGTAGAATGTGCAGCAAACCTAACTTTTTTTCTGCATTTTTAAAGCGGCACCAGGGATCTGGTGATTACTGTGTCACAACATTCCAGTAATAATGTAAACACTGTCATACTTCTGTTATAATACTCTACTTTCACCCACAGAAAGTAATTCTGACCAGGGTACAAAGCTGGAAAATCTAAAACCATTAATGTCATAAAACATGGAATCCTAGAGAACAGTGGAGATAAAGGGTCTTCAGTCAGTAGAAAGGTGCATCTGGATATAGGAGCAGCTTGATATGTGAAGTCTAGAAGTAAGGGCTGGACAGAATATGTGACTATTGACAACATGCGAGTTCACTGTGTATAAACGGACCGAGGAGGACTCACTACAGGATATAATAAAACCCCAAGAGGTTTGTGAAATACATGACCTATTATGTTCAGCTAGACCAGGCATAACGGCAAATGTAGTTCACAAACACCTGGAATGTCAAGGTTAACGTGTGTGTGTGTGTAATATTATATATATATATAATCTCAGACAAAATATCGATAAATAGAATTACCTTCTCTGATTAATACAGTACATGCCAATTTGAAACTCCAGAGGTTTGTGAAATACATTTCCCTTTCTGATCTAAAACTTTTTTATATTTTGAAAAACACTCTGCCACAATAGGCACCTGTTCTTTCAGTTTATATAATCTGTAAACACGGGATTAAATAAAGTATCAGGGCAATAAACAACTCATTTTTAGTAAGGAATACTTCTACAGAATAGTTTTGGGGTTTTACTTATAGAATGACAGACTGTTTTACACGTAGCTTTCTTACAAATACATTGTCAATAGTAAAGCTCAGACAGTCCAAAAAACGTTTAGAAAAATTTCAGTTTATTTAAGATTTGTCTACCTCATTAGACGTATAGTAAATTGGGATTCACAATTTTGTGTTCATTTTCTTACACTGGGTCAAGTTCATAAACCTTTGACATTAAAATTTTAACAATACCCATCACTTGGGCTGGTTTGGAAAATGTTGTACATTTTCCAAAAGGGGAGAGAATGTAATGGAAACAAACTTCACTAGGATCTTCAGCAATATCTATACAACCCACAAAGCAATACCCACAAACCAGTTGTACCTTCAAAAAAAATAGCCGTACCCACAAATCAGCAACATCAGACGATGTGTGGATTAAAAGCTGGTGGTTAAACTGAAATAAGTATAAATAGAGCCCCAACCATTATAAAAAATACAAATAAATCCTACATAAGGTACAGCTGGATTATCCCATTCCAGTACAAGTAAAAAAATTTTTTTTAAAAATGTTTAACTTTTTTTTTTCCCTTTTCTTAAAAAGAACATAAAATTCCCGACAGGCATACATACAATGGCCCCTGTACTGTAATCTATTTATCATATTTCATTAAAAAACTATAAATATTTCCAGTCTTTAAATACTTTGACTAGTTATTTCTGGCCTTCTAGAACCCAATACTTCATATACGGGAACGTACGCTAAGCTACTCTGTAATGAATACTCATTAGGTCCTTTTCCAAACCAGCTCAGGGTGAAGAGTGTTCTTGGGAAAACTAGAAAATTTTAAAAAATCTGAATTTTGTCCAGATTGTCCTTGGACTGTAACTAATACAGTGAAATAAGAATACTGCTCAGTGCCAAAAGGGAGAAAACAAAATAGAACAGTTTGTGTAACAAAACTTTCATGATGATATGCAAGATATAACCTTACATTTATAGATAAAACCGTTCCAGACAATAACAATTACTCTTATAAAAAAAATTAAATATTACATCAATTGATAAGGCCTTCGATTAAAGGTCACAGTATCTTTTTCCTGCTGGGGACACAGACCAGTCATATCCCGCTGCAGCCACCATGAAAAATGGCGACTGTGGACACAATCTGTTTTACAGCAAACCTACAATGCTTCCAAAGCGCACCGGACAGGAAGAAAGCTATAGTGCAATAAACCTTAATACCAAGTCACTTATCCTCCACCTGTGCTTCAAAGTTCAGGTCTTCATCATTGTCTCCATTTCAGCAACTGAAAAGGCACTTTGTGAGGTCCCTAGGCTTAAGCCTACGCCAGCCAGATCCCAAATTATTAGAAAATCGCATTCATGGTCTTTCACGCTACATCTGGACACGCAGTGTTGGTCAAATGTTCTGGGGGGCTGGGGTGATAATAAGTTCGAAATAGTCTCTCTTCACGGCACATCTTCATTGCCAGATAGGTGTGGAGCAGGAGGCTGGGGAAACGGGAGGTAAAGTAGCGCACAAATTCATCAGGGACAGACCCCAAAGTCTCTTGCACCTCCGCGGGCAGTTCTCTGTAGTGATGTTTCTGTGAATAAAACAAATTTCAAAGATGTGATTCTGAAAAGTGCTGGATGTCTCCCCTCTACAATATTTTTTTTTCAATTGTTAGTTTTCATCTTGACACAATTATTCACAGATGGATATCATGAGCAAAGGATTACAGCAAGCAGCATAAATGGTGGCTTTGAACAAATTAGAAAAACACTCCTGGCACCATAACTACTGCAGTTAGATGTAGTTGTTATATACAATACTATGGTGAGGGCAAAACAAGTGGTGAAAAAAACAACTGTGAATGAAATTTATAAAACATGCAATTTTACCATGTTTTATACATTTTATTCACCACTTGTTTTGCTCTCACCATATTATTGTATGTATTCTGTCTGTTGTACTTTGTGTGGTTTGGAGTGACACACACTTGGTGATTTTGAGCAATCTCATCAATATTTAGTTGTTATGATGTTTGAAGTGTTACTTTAAGATTAGAAACAAAGTAATGGTTTATACCCCTGCTACAGACTGGGTGTAATAGGCCAGTGGCTGAAAAGCAATTCCAGCAACCATCATTATCATGAGAGTGGCAGAACGGTGTCCTGTAGCAGCCAAAATCTGTGTTTTACACCAAAGTCAAAAGCACCTTGACCAAATATAAGGCCAAAATAGTCAAACTGAAAACAGAGCTGACTTGGAGAGTTTTTCTAATTTAGTTATTTTGGCCAAAGCTTTACAGTTCAAGTTGAATTCCCAGAAATTCTTACTTTAGTGAATGACTGCCAATTTTGACTAATCCCTTTCATTTTGTATCTTACAAGCTACTAACTAGGAGAAGTAAGCTGCCTAAACAGTGGTATTAATCCAATCTTCCTTAAGTGTTAACATAAGAAAAAAAAAAAGATAGTATACCGCCAAACTCCTGTACTGATCTCCAATGAAATGCATGGATTAGCAGACAAAGCCTTTACCTTGTTTCTTAAAGCTCGGAGCAGATCTCGGACGGATCTTCCTTTGTAACTGCGGAATTTTCTGAGATCTGAGTTTGAAAAAACAAAATGGGAAAGATTGGTATTTTGTTATCTGCCTTCTTGGCTGATGTCATCTGACGTGGCGATCTGAGCCAATCACAATGCTTTCACATAGGAATGAATTGGATTGGCTGATATTGTCAAGGAGGCAGATCAGGGGCATAGCCAGCACAAGTCAAACACAGCCCTGGCCAATCAGCCAATCAGCATCTCCTCATAAGATAAATTGAATCAAATGCATGCAAAATCAGAACAGATACAATAAGCTGTAGTTGTTCTGGTTACTATGGTGTCCCTTTAAGTTGTTGTAATAAGTGCAGTGTTAATTTAACTGTAAACTAGTGCGTACGACATTGTATGCTCATCCACAGATTTGCCAACTTGTCACAGTGTCCGTAAAGTTAGAAATACCTGTTTGAAGAGGCACAGTGATCTGTTCTCGCCAATCCATTTTTACCACCTGTCGTCCTCCCTTCTCCAGCTGTTTCACTATGGGGCCGTCAAGAGCTTCTTTCTCTATCCGGTCACTGACATCCTGCAGGAATAGAAGGGTACCAATCATAATATCACAACCCTGCAAACCAAGTGTGCTGTAAGGCTGCCTTATTGAATTACTAACCTGAAAAAACTGGAGTTGCTTTTCCAGATTCCAGAAAAATGGATGTTTTAGGACGCTCTCTGCTGACGGGCGTGTCGGTGGATCTTTATTAATCATTTGCTCAATGAGTTGATGAGCAATTAGATCTTCTAAAAAAGACACGTAATGAGAAATGTTATTTTTCTCAAGAAAGAATCATCTGGACAGATTCATATTACAGAGTCTATTCAAAATATCCAGTTAAGCTCAGAGATAAGGTTAAACCTTCAAATATTAGAAATAAATGTAATCTGACAGATCCGAGATGACATCCATTCTAAATGAATCAAAACAAAAAACACACAGACTCAAGAAGGGAAGAGTGCCGAACAGGTTTTCATTCTTGCCACTTAATTACATGATAACCAGCACTCCTCCGACAGACAGATCATGTCCTAAGCAGAGATGCCAAACTGTAACCACCATGTTATGGTAAAATGAGAGAGCACATTACATACAAGCATCCAAAATCTGCTCATGTAAGCACAGCCTCCTCAGAAAGAGAAAGACATTTATTAAAAAATAAAAACTCATTTAAAGGAAAATGAATGCCTTACAGATGTCCATATTTCTTTTATTGAGTTGTCAGCAAGATAAACATGACATCAAAATATATCAGCTTGGCATAAACAGGTAATGTACATTCTAAGTCACATATAATTCAGGATAAGAAAGATCTCTCTCTTTTTTTGGAAGGGAAAGATAAGTAACAGACAAGATGTCTAGATACGTATAGCACGTTAAACATTCTATCGGTGGATAAATACTAAGCAAGCGGAGTGTTAGGCTACTATATGTCCAGGGAACTTGTCTATGCTGAGAACTGATATCGTATCATATTTTATTGTTATTTGTTTTGTGTTTGACAATCTTTGTTTTTCAACGTCAGTACATGGGGGTTCTTTGCGTGCAATACAGGGTACAAAGGTATGTGCTTTTAGAGGTCTGCTTTAAGCGTGCAATAAACTTGACAATAAATTGGCTCTATAGTAGACTTGACCTTATGATTCATGCAATGCACTCATTTACAATGGGCAAAGTTATCGATGTAACAACGGATAGCAACACCGTTCGTGTAGTTTGAGCACGCATTGTGTGTAGGTATTATGGTGTCAGTTGGGATATGAGAGGCAATTTGGGTACAGGGGAACAGAGATTTACAAACCAAATCATGGTGTTGCCTCGGGTTACATGGTTATGCTTGCTGATAGCAGGAGCACCGAGGGGGTCCAATCCGGAATGAACTGCAACAGCTGAGAATATTCCCATAGGCAACGTATTGGAGCAGATGAGGGTCTGCTTGATGGAGGGAGGGGGGGGAGGTTTACCTTTGAATGAGGTAGGGGTTAAGTAGGTCAGTCTGGTGGTTGGTGCAGCATGTCTGGCCACTGTAGGTCATGCTGGTCGAGCAGGGGCTTGTGGTCTTACAGGTGGTAGCCAACTACCCCAGGAGTGCAGCGGATGCTGCTGGGTTAGAGGAGCGTGTAGCCCCTGTGAGTCATGCTGGTACTTGCAAGTACAGCCTATACAGGGTGTCAGCTGTGAGCTGACACACGGCATCTGCGATATTGGTGGGCACTCCGTGCTGACCTGCCTGCATATTGGATGCTTTTGGTCCAAAGATGTATGCGGTTTTGATTGCTAGTGGTTGGGGGCACAGGAATATCCCCCATTAGCAGTGGAGTGGGGGTTACGTCAAATGTCTCTCTGTTACAAAGAATGTAGGGCGAAACGATTGCAAGCCACAATGCCAATTCTTGCTTTTGCCATGGAGTGTACTTTCAGTAGGTGGAAATCATGCTTGTAATGCCAGGTAAGTTCCTAACGATCTCCCGATGACAGCTTGCCTTTAGTTAGGGAGTATTAGCTTAAAAGAACGGTTATTGGGAACTTTGGCACAGAGCTCATGCAAGGCACGTCCGTCCAGTACTGTCAAGCCCAGCACCCCTACATTTGAGCATTCAGTAAGATATGAGCTTTTCATAAAGATTCTATCGACTACATTGGTATTTTAGCAAAAACAGAGACTATGAGAACTTTTAAAAGCTTAGATAGACACAGTACCTTGCCCTTCAGTAAATCCCCCCGCTCAGGTCTCCATTTTTGCTTACCTGTGCCATTACATAGTGAACCTATACCATTTACATAGACTAATTCTGCCCATAAGAGCAGTTCAGATGTTAAATGCTTCCCACTGCATGAGAGATACAGCAACCTCAGACAATTATTTTAGCCTTCGTTGAGCCTCATCAGCGAGGTTACCAGATATCCCTCTAGGCACAATGAGCATGAGGTCCACATTTAAAATTACCTTTTATAACAGACCCTAAGCAAACACACTGAAGCAAAAACAGACAATATGAGAAGTTTGAGAGCGGGCAAAAATACATTGTTTGAAGGAGCCTTGTTTAATGTAGAAACACTTTTTTTTTTTGTCAGTAAGTTGCGAAAGGCACTTCAATCAACTTCCACCTCCTCCATTACTTGCTACGTCTGAAGGACAACATCACAGGATTCGACTGACTGCAATTTAGATTATGTGCATACGAGCAACCCGGCATGTTCTGCCAGTAGGTGAAGATGACCATGAACCAGAAGACTGATGCACCAGAGAGAATACATCAGGTAAATCTCTCTCTTCCCCCTAGGAATAATGAAAAATTAAGATAGTGCAGAGGCTCTGAGCACAGTCTGAAAGACCCAGAAGTATGGGATCCAACCAAAAATATATATATTTGCTGTGATTCCCCTTGTGGAGCAACGAAGATGTTTGGTATCTGTCTGTAACTGTTTGTAATCGGTCCTATTTTTTTGGAGTCAGGGTGCGCTCTCTCAAACCATTCTGTATCACTAAAAATACGATCTCCAAAAAAGGTCTATATGCTATAGAGAGGCCTTTGAATTAGTGTCTAAAAACAACTGCTCTAAAGCGGATACACACCCCCCCCAGGTGAGAAAACTTAAAAAGCAATATAATTGTAAATGTAAAAACGGGTCCTGATATGCGTGTCTCAGCAGACAGATAATAAGTGCTTATTTAGAATGTAGACTGCATTCCTATATGAAACTATTAAGGTCACCAATAAATATCTTAACTTTTAGAGTTGAAAAGTCATTCAATTATCTCTTAAACCTTTGTTAGTTGAAAAAAGAAAAAAAACAGAAGTATGCTGTATATACCACTTAATTGCTCTATGAATCCATACTTTATCTGACATAACCTACTTTTATTATACAGTTACCATGACAACTACATTCATAACAATAGGAAATAAGCCAGGACATTGTAGCTATTTGTTATGATTCCAGAAGACATGTACAGTTTCCATGTATAGAATACACCCCACTCACCGTGTTTGTCTAGATTCAAACAGTCCAAGCTGTAAGCACCTAGGAGGATGTTGGCTTGCCGCTGCAGGGACTTGCCAAATGGGTGCTTCCCTTCTGACACCACGTAATAGAACACGCAGCCAGCTGAGAAGATGTCCACTGTGTAGGTCTGTAATGAAACCTTCGTCATTTCATTTATTCAGATCAAACAACGTTCATAACAAAAACATGGAGCTGCATTCCGGGAGATAACAACATATGCTCTGTATGTATGTGACTATATCCTTGTCACAGGGATATTCAGAGAGAACTTACAGGGTTGTCTTTGAAATCTTCGCTAAGTATCTCTGGTGCGATCCAGCCTTCTGTCCCAGGAATACCAGATCGCCGGCTAAAACTGTTCCTTCCAACAGCTAACTTCTTACACAGGCCGAAATCGGAGATCATGGCTTTCACTTTACCGTGAGCATTGGGCATCGAAATCAGGATGTTGTGAGGCTTTAGATCTCTGTGCACTGAGGGTCAAACATTGAAAAAAAAAAATTAGGATTGAATATGGATATCAAAGTCATGCTCCCCTCTCTTGAATGCAGTAAGTGGGGTTTTTTTTGTTGTTTTTTTATTGTTTTTTTTTCTTTTCCCCTTATGTGAATTTGTTGCGCACAATACGGTCACCTTGCATGGGTATATAAGCCTATTACTCAGAAGGAAACTACCTTAAAATAATTTTTGTAAGCGTAAATAATGTAACGAAGGAAAATGGAATAAAAAAATGGCAGTTTTTGCATGATGACTAAATTAGCATTTAACACGCATTTAAATTTAGCATTTAGAAGGATAGATTTGGAATGCACGTTACACGGTAAATAATTTATAGCACATAATTTAAAGGGAAAAGGGGGGGGAGGAGTTGATTATAGGAAATATTGGTGAGAGAATATGAGGGACTTTCTACTTAGGAAGAAATAATTGTAAAATAAATAATGGTAAAAGTAGGGGCGGTTCTTTGATTAATAAATCAGCACTTAACACGTATTTAGATTTAGTACTTTGAATTAATGTTTGGAATGCACTTTAAATTGTTTAGAATTTATCACATAAAATTTAAAGAAGGAAAAAGAGTCTATTATAAGAAATATTGGTGAGAGAGCGTATGAGGGATTTTACTTAAGAAAAGTTGCGAAATTTGCAAAGAGAGGTTTTTTTTTTTTTTTTTTTACTTTAAAAAAAAGGTTATTGTCACAGAAATATGAACTACGGACAAGATTTGAGAATGGTTCCTGGATCAGAACCAGAAACAAAAAACACTGTCTGTTCAAAATACGGTAGTTCTTACCAATGTTTAGAGAATGCAAGTATGCAAGTCCAGACACCGTCTGCTCCAGGAGAGCTATCGGCTCCAAACCATGACGGTCAAAATCCTTCTCTTCCACATACTAATACAGAGAGAAAAAAAAAAAAAAAATTTAGGAGGGGAAGGAGCTCACCGTTTTGATTAGTCAGTCAGCTTTTATTAGAACACGGGATACAGTATCCAATAACAGTCACTAGATTAGATCAATGGGCAGTCACATCTTGCTAACAGGCAACAAAAAAGTGGACTATTCTGTATTTAACTGCAGCAAAAATAAAAATGAACTCATCTGAATTCCAGCTGCTTCTAATTTTCACATAATCCAAATACCGGTAGAATTTAAACCTCGGTCAACGAAGATAAAAAAAAAAAAGATGACATATGTTTGCTCTCTGTCTGCTTTAAAGATGTACAATTTTCTAAGCATCCTGCATTGTAGAAATCAAATCCAAAATATTTGTGCAGCGAGCTCTGACCTCTTGCAGGGTGGCAGAGCACAGCTCGATGGCGATGTACTGGAACTGGCGATCTTTCTCCGTGCAGAAATAGCGGATTACGTTCGGATACTCATCAGACTCTCTGAGCAGCTGCACCTCCCGGTCTGCAAAACTGAAGCACTCTGGGAGAATTCTCTTCACCGCCACATCTCGATTATCAAACTGGCCTCTGTAGGGGAAAGTAAAAGGAATTTGTTAAATGCCCAGGCATGAAGAGTCAATTTTAATTTATTTAAGGTGATAAACATAGAATGAGACGGCAGATAAGAACCATTCGGCCCATCTAGTCTGCCCAATTTTCTAAATACTTTCATTAGTCCCTGGCCTTATCTTATAGTTAGGATAGCCTTATGCCTATCCCACGCATGCTTAAACTCCTTTACTGTGTTAACCTCTACCACTTCAGCTGGAAGGCTATTCCATGCATCCACTACCCTCTCAGTAAAGTAATACTTCCTGATATTATTTTTTAAACCTTTGTCCCTCTAATTTAAGACTATGTCCTCTTGTTGTGGTAGTTTTTCTTCTTTTAAATATAGTCTCCTCCTTTACTGTGTTGATTCCCTTTATATATTTAAATGTTTCTATCATATCCCCCCTGTCTCGTCTTTCCTCCAAGCTATACATGTTAAGATCCTTTAACCTTTCCTGGTAAGTTTTATCCTGCAATCCATGAACCAGTTTAGTAGCCCTTCTCTGAACCCTCTCTAAGGTATCAATATCCTTCTGAAGATACGGTCTCCAGTACTGTGTACAATACTCCAAGTGAGGTCTCACCAGTGTTCTGTACAATGGCATGAGCACTTCCCTCTTTCTACTGCTAATACCTCTCCCTATACAACCAAGCATTCTGCTAGCATTTCCTGCTGCTCTATTACATTGCCTGCCTACCTTTAAGTCATCAGAAATAATCACCCCTAAATCCCTTTCCTCAGATGTTGAGGTTAGGACTCTATCAAATATGCTGTACTCTTCCCTTGGGTTTTTTTTTATTCTTTATTTTTGTTGTGCATGGGTTTACAGCAGTGCTTGTATAGCCACAACAGCTTCCACAAGCGCATTATTATTTGAACATAGGTAAGTTATGCGTTAAAACTTGCACATTTTTACATTTAATGAGTTGTATGAACAAGCTAAGTTAAGTAATCTCCTATATGAGATTTGCATCTCATAGATAGATTGTATGTGTTAGACAAGTATGCCTAGTTTGATTGGGTGTAGGTTAGCGTTTTGTCTGAGATGGTCTAGGCGCATGAGGAGGAGATTTTGCTTTTCATCATCTTAAGTTAGTTCAGGCTGAAGAAGCCCTGTGTAGGTGCCATATAGTGATCCCTTGGGGGGGGGGGGATTGTCACTTAAGGGTTCGGGAGTATTGTGTATGTTGCTTCTCTGTGAGTAGGTCACGTTTTGCATCTGACTGAGTAGGCTCTATACTGAGCTGGTTGCCAGGGTGTGTGGTATCAGGGTTGCCTAGTGAGCATCAGGTGAGTTGGTAGGTCTTGTGCCTGAGGGTTAGTGTATAACTAGTGTAGGGAAGAGAGTGAGGGTGTGGGTATATACGCTCCATTGTGTATTTCGCCCACTCCTGAGGGGGGTATTTGTTGGGGATTATGGGGGGTAATCGCCATCTCGGTCGTGTAATTGTCAACCCAAATTCGGGTTTTCATGACTAGCCGTCGTGTAGTTTAAAAACATAAACTGAAGCATTAATGCTAAGCGTTGAACACATTTTAAACAGTAGGGCTTTGTTGGGGTGTTCGGCTGTCTTGTCGAGTTGCGTTTAAGTATTTAGTGTTCAGTCCTGCTAAGGCTCCGTTTCCCGTGATGTGGCGGCTCTCGGTGTGAATATGGCCGTGTTCACTGGGTCCCAGGCTTTGGATGGTTTGTCTTGTGTTCTTACGGTCTGGCCTGCTATGCCTAGTGATGCAAGGAAAGAGGGTATATCTGCCCCTGCTTCTAGTGTGTGGACAGTCCCGTTATGCGTAGCATACAGCGTTCCAGGGGGGCCCCATCTGTATGTCACCCCAGCTGTTCTGAGTTGGGAAGTGATCGGTGCCAATGATTTGCGCCATTGCAGTGTGGCTCGTGTGAGGTCCTGGTAGAAGGTTAGAGAGGCGCCTTCAAAGGACAGCGGTGTTTTACCCTTCAGGGCTAGCATAATTTGGGCCTTATCCTGAGAGGTGGCGCAGCGGAGTATGACGTCTTGCATTTGGCCTGGTTTTGCCATGGGTGAGCCTGGTAGTCGAAATGTTCCTTCGATGGTTAATTTCCTGGTCACTGGGTGAGGTAAGATGGTCGCCATCAATCGCCTGGCATAGTGTGGTAGTTCATCTGCGCTAATGTTAGCAGGGACTCCCCTTATCTTAACATGGTTGCGGCGTAGTCTGTCTTCAAAGGCCGTCAGCCTGAGCGACAAGGCTGATTGGTGCACTTGGAGCTGAGTAACTGTGTCTTTAATTGTGGTCAAGTCAGAGTTAATGCTGCCGATGTTTGTTTCAGCTTGTGTTACTCGGCCTGTGACTGCCTGTATGTCTGCTTTTATTTGCTGGAGGTCTGCAGCCCAGACCTTGTGTATGTCTGCCAGCAGTGCCTTTAAATCAGCTTTGGTAGTGGGAGCTGTGCCATCATAGGGCTCTTGGGATGGGGCCTGATCTGTCTGCAGGGCTTGTGTGATCCCTACCTCATCACTCTGCCTCGTGGCTTCAATGTGTGTAGGCTGCAGTACCTCTGTGGAGGGTGTTTTGCCCGGCGCCGGTCGTTGCAGCATGGTGCCAATATCCCTGCACTCTGCCGCTGTGTGTGGTTTTTGGGACCGACGTCCCATTGCTGGCATTTGATGTGGGGATGAGGTGTCTGGGAGTTGCAGGCTGTGTCCCACTCTGCCGATTGCGAGTAGGTCATCCAGGCTGTAGGCTGGCGTTGCGCAGTAGGCCCCAGACCTGCGTTTTATTTTTGCCTGTCTGGGCGGCTGGAAGAACGGCATCGACGGATGCAGGAACTCTCGGTGAGGTAGGTCGGCCGGGTTGCGTCGCCTTATGGGGTAGGATGCCCGCGATTTTCGGTGGGTTTTAGGCGAATTGCGGGGAGCTGGCTGAGATGGCGTCTACCCTCGTTGGCCGCAAGCTCCGCCCCCCCTTCCCTTGGGTTTTTATGTCCAAGATGCATTATCTTGCACTTATCCACATTAATGTCAGTTGCCACAACTGTGACCATCTTTCTAGTTTACCTAAATCATTTGCCATTTGGCTTATCCCTCCTGGAACATCAACCCTGTTACATATCTTAGTATCATCAACAAAAAGACATACCTTACCATCAAGACCTTCTGCAATAATCACTAATAAAAATATTAAAGAGAATGGGTCCAAGTACAGATCCCTGAGGTACCCCACTGGTGACAAGCCCAAGCTTCGAATATATTCCATTAACTACAACCCTCTGTTGCCCGTCACTCAGCCAATGCCTTACCCATTCAACAATATTGGAATCCAAACTTAAAGATTGCAGTTTATTGATAGAAACATAGAAACATAGAATGTGACTGCAGATAAGAACCATTCGGCCCATCTAGTCTGCCCAATTTTCTAAATACTTTCATTAGTCCCTAGTCTTATCTTATAGTTAGGATAGCCTTATGCCAATCCCACGCATGCTTAAACTCCTTTACTGTGTTAACCTCTACCACTTCAGCTGGAAGGCTATTCCATGCATCCACTACCCTCTCAGTAAAGTAATACTTCCTGATATTATTTTTAAACCTTTGTCCCTCTATTGAAGCCTTTTATGTGCAACAGTGCAAAAGCCTTACTGAAATCTAGGTAAGCAATGTCTACTGCACCACCCTGATCTATAATTTTAGTTACCCAATCAAAAAAATCAATAAGATTAGTTTGGCATGATCTCCCTGAAGTAAACCCATGTTGTCTCTGATCTTGAAATCCATGTGTTTTTAGATGTTCAACAATCCTATCCTTTAATATGGTTTCCATCACTTTCCCCACTACTGAAGTAAGGCTTACTGGCCTATAGTTGCCCGACTCCTCCCTATTACCTTTCTTGTAAACACTTTTTTTAGAAAAAACAAAAAAAAACAAAAAAAAAACTAAAAACTTTATATATCAAATTCTATAATACATTTATAAAAATATGAATTGTGTGGATGGCTTGACACCTAAGCTCGGAAATTAGTGAGTAATTCTAGGCCTGTATGAGGGAATATACAGATATTAAAAGGGTTTGCATGGAACACATTCAGTTTTTTTAAGAAGCACAATATACCTGTAAACTATGGTGCCCTCTGCTCCATGGCCAAGAACGTCTCTAGGATTAAAGGAAATCTTTCCAATGGTTACTCTCCCATCTTCATCTGTGGGGAAAAAAATACAATATCCCATACATTACAACCATAACCACTGAGTGAGTCAAAGATCATAGCCAAGTATGCCTGAATGGGACGGAAACAGTCAAAAGTGGCCTGGAGGTCTCCAAGAATGGACAAAAGAAGCCGATGGGCCAATGGTGCAGCGGAAAGGCTTCAAACTAACAGGACAGTATCTGCATCAAGCTTATTTTTTCCCCCTCTTGTTAATAATGCTTAAAGGGATTCTATAGTGTTAGGAATACAAACCTGTATTCGTAACACTACAGGAGCCGTCTTGTCCCCCCTTTCCTCAATGCTTTCCTATGAGGGTTTAACGGACGCTTGATGTCCTCATGCAGAGTGTAAGGTTGTCCAGCGTCCGTTATGGGACCAAAAATCTATTAGCAACCAGGAAGTTCCTCTAGTGGCGGTCTGATTGAAATGTGCTTTTAGCAAGTGTTATTTTTTTTGTTTTGTAAATATGTTTTTGTTTTCAGAGAATAAGAGTAACAATAAGACTCGGAGGTTTCAGGTCTGTGACCGTTTGCGATAACATTTCAATTGTGTATTCCGAAACTCGCAGGTTTCAATATTTGTGAATAGTCAATACTTCTGGAGACACGCAGGTCTCTCAACTCTCTGCTTTCCTGTGGCACGTAAGCCCAAAGTAGTAGTTTGCTATAGGTGTGTAGTGCGGAGACCTGTGTTTTGGTTGTGTATGGTGTTTGCTGGGTTCTGTCTCATGTGTAAGTCCTAGTTCTATATGTCCGTTCTCTGGCTGTTCCGTGTGCTGTTGGCAGTGTCAATGTGTAGTGCTGTGTTTCCTTGATTCTGGTCTGCCATGCCTGCTTAGACGGTTGGCATTGTGGCCTGTTGGTCCTACTTGTGCACCAGGAGGTGGCTGTATGTTGTCTTTCTTGTTTTTCCGCTTGTCTCTGTGTGTTGTTTGTCTAGTCAAGTATGCGGTTTCTTGTGCAGTGTTGTGGTCGTGTGTGTCCCACAGGGGTGATATTTTGTTGGAGCCGTGTGTCAGTGCCAGGGTGTGTTGGTTTGTGTGCAGTGTTGGGTGGGTTTAGGAGTTGGGTTATTTGTTGGGGTAGGCGTGTAGCTGTCGGGTTGTCTCAGTCTATTTTGTCTGTCGTGGCGTCGGTCTGTGCTGTCTTGCTGCCTCTCTGTCTACATGTCGTATTGGATCCTAGTCATAAAATCTGTCTTACTGGTCGTCAGTAGCCAGTGCGTCCATATTTCCAGGTATTTGTGTGGTGTGTTTGCGCTCATGTAGAGTTCCTCTATGGCTCCAAGTTCTTCCATTTTGGAGAACCATGCTGTCAGTGGGGGTGTCAATGTTTGCTTCCAGAATTGTGGGAGCACTTGCTTGGCCACATTTAGGATTCTAATGGTGAGTGAGTTTTTATAGCGGGATCTGGGTGTCTTCGTGTGGTGTAGGAGCATGGCTTCCGGAAGAAAGGGTGGTGGTGCATCTGAAAATGTTTGGAGTAAGTCATGTATACCCTTCCAGAAGGGTTGGACGACCTCACAGCTCCACCAGAGGTGGAGCATGGTGCCGGCTTCTTTGCTGCATCTCCAGCAAAGGTCAGCGTGGTCTGGGTCTATGGCGTGGAGTATGATTGGAGTGCAGTACCAGTTTGTCAGCAGTTTGAACGCAGTTTCCTGGGTCCTGCTGAAGACTGAGCAGTGGTGTGTTAAGTAGCATATCTTCTCCCACTCTCCATCCGTGAAGGTTTTGCCTAGTGTTTGTTCCCACGTCCCCATGAACTTGGGTGTCTCCGTCGGGGTTTCCCTCTGTAGCGTGGTGTAGATAAGAGAGATCCCGTGGGGTTGGGGGTCGGGGTCTATGCACAGTCGCTCGAACGTGGTGTGGGCCCTTGTTCGTGCAGTGCCCCCTGGGAGGGTGTGTACATAGCTCTGTAGTTGTCTGTATTTAAGAGTCTGTAGGGGGGTGGGAGTGCTACCGTCTAGCAAGGTCGGTAGTGTCTTGCAGTCAGTCCTGTCAAGGAGGTGGTATAGTCTAGGTGTCTTGTGGCGGAGCAGGTCTCTGAATGCTTTAGGGTCTATGCCCGGTGGGAAGTTTTTGTTGTGTGTCAGGGGGAGGAGGGGAGATGGGTACGGCGCCAGTCCATACTTCTTCATTGCTATCCTCCATACCCGCATAGTTGCTCTCGTGTATGGTGCGCACTGTCCCCCGGTCGTCATCCCCCTCAGCCATGGCAGCTAGTAAGTGTTTTAATACACAGTGAACAAATTATTTTAAAAAAGCAGGAATTTTAATGCACCACAATATTCAACTTATCTCCACCCCCACTGTACTTTTCTTATCTGTGTATTGTTTCAAAACAATGCTAAGGCAAAAGTCAGCAGATAGTAAGAAAACAGTGATTGGCTGTGGGGCCTAGTTATGATAACTCATACTGATCTCTTATTGGCCGTGTACTCCGTACATTTCCTCTTCATTTTAAGGGCACCCTTACTTTTATTTTGTTTTATTTTCTGGAGATGGCTGTGCATCATGACCTTATCTGTCGTTGAGAAGTGTATTACATTATATTGTTGATTATAGATTTAGTTTTAGGATCAACTGATATTGTCGATGACCAAGTTATGCTTTATTTACATTTTTCGATCTAAGCAGAAGATAAATGCACCTGTCGGTTGCTGTATACTGGACATTACAGTGAAGTGAAAGGGTTATAAAGGTTTTAGTGAAATCCACATTTGTGAGGTTGGAAATCTAAGATTGGCAGAATCAGTGGCTGAGCCGGTAGCGCTTGGGGAATAGAATAAGGAACCACAAAAGGGACAACCCGTGCTATAGACCCCAAACCTTCACAACAAACCAACAGAAACACCCCTTCTCCAGGCAAATTACTCTTCCACAGATTCCCCAATCCGTCCTCAGCAACCAGCTACGCTGGAGACTCCAAACAAAGACATCATGACAGACTGAAGATCGCATGGTATGCAGACACTAGATTTACCTTCATCCTCCACCTCTGTGGACACCATGCTGCCAATCTCAGACGTGGACATGTTGGAGTGTAATGAATGGTTTGAGGCCCTTGGAGACACATTAGGAGTGCTGTTGGCTGAGCTTTCACCACGGAGGCCAGGTATATCCAAGTAATCTCCTTCAGACGTCCCCTCGGCTGGTGTCTGGAAGGTGACGTGCTGCATCTGCAAGAGCTGAATCTTCTCCTCTAGCTGTTTCTGGAACTGCTGGTGCTGGAGCTGCTGCTGCTGTTGCACGGTCTAGAAAAGGGACGAGAGCCAGTGTTTCAGTCGCTAGGTAATGTAATATTTGGTAATAGAAGATTGAAATGAACAGGTTTGTCCAAACGAGGACAGAATTTTGGAGGCAATTGGCTGGCAATTATTTTATTCATAATAGAATTTTCCAAATCTTGGCATAAATACATTGAAAAACTAAAATAAATTTATAAGTATTTGTTGGCCCATATCACATCAGAGGTTCTGAACAGTTTCCGTCACATCTCTATAAAAGGCAAACAGCGATTATAAAAGAACCAAATAGAAACTGGGTTACCTTTGGATAGGTGATAACAAACGCCAACCATCCAGCCAACAGAAATGTGCTGAATATAATGGTAGCCATATCTTTAAGCATGGAGTCTACGGGAGCTTCCGGCTTGGGAAGAAATGGATTGGAAACATCCCTGATCTCTTCAGGTGGATCAACTGCCAACTCTATAACCTCCTGTAGAAGAAAAACAAATGACCAAGTCAAGAAAGCACAGACCACATGCAAACGAACAGTGCTTGGAAGATGAACAACGACAATTTATATTAAGTATCTTGTTTTGTTTTGGCACATTTCCACAAGTGAATCCATCCTCACACACCTCCTTAAAGCGGGATTTGTCCAGATTGGCTTCAATAACATTGTCTTCACCTCTGGGAAAGGTGGCTGGAAAAGTATCCAGGATCTTCGTTGGAGCAGACAGAGGTATCTCATGGTGTCCTTGGGAAGAACACAAACTAATTAATAGAAATGCATGTATGAGAGACAGTTTAAACCATGGGTAGTCAACCTGGTCCCTACCGCCCACTAGTGGGCAGTTTGGGATTTTAGGTGGTGGGTTCTGCAGAAAATGCCCGGTGGACCTCGATGACCATAGACCAAGGCAGATATCTCACCTGCCGGCCCATGCAAAGCCAGCCTTGTGGTTATCCCTCTCGGGCTGGTGAGGAGATCAAAGATCACTTCATTCCAGCAAAGGGAGGGAAGGGTTTCCCATGAGCAGACTGGTCAGAGTGTTACCACACATTACCATGGCAACGCTCTGATACAGTGCTGTGCTCGCAGGAGAACAGCAGAGTTAGCCTGCAGCCGCAGGAGCTGAAGACTAAAGTGAACATGCCACGACTGGATAACCAGGGCTTGCAGCATTATGTCCCCTGTCCCTGGTAAAAAGGTAAGAATGGGGCAACATTAAGATAGATTTTCATATTTCACCGGGCTACACACAGCATAGACCCTGTGCACCCTTCTCATACACACACACCCCTCACATACACAGTGCACCCCTCACACTCTGCCCTCGCGCGCACGCACACACACACACACACTGCCCTCCTTCATACACTGCACCCTTCACACACACACACACACACACACACACTGCCCCCTCTCACACCCTTCACACACACACACACACACACAATACCCTTCACACACACACAAAAAAGGTAGAATAGGGGGGAAAAAAAGGAAAAAGAAATAGATACATTTAAGTAAATATTATTATTATTATATATTTTTTTAAATAAAACCTCCTTTCTAAAAAAAAAACAAACAAAAAAAACCCGCACTTGCGCTATAAAATTAGTTACTGTGTCACTGGTGGGCGTTAAGATAATTTTACCATCAACAAAGATACAAAAGTGGGCAGTAGGTATTAAAGGATTGACTACCCCTGGTTTAAACTATAGAAACATAGAATGTGATGGCAATACTTCCTGAAAATATTTTTAAACCTTTGCCCCTCTAATTTAAGACTATGTCCTAAAGCAGAAAGAGTGGGTATTCCACACAAGAAGTCGGTACTCGGTAAAGTTAGAAAGGATGCCTAACAAACCTCCTCAATTAAATAAAAAGGACTGCAGATAGATATATTGGCCGGAATAATACACCATGTGCACTCCTGTATTAAGAGGTTGGAGGTAAATTGGTGGATTACACCAGGGGCCAGTAAGAATGTCTGTACCTCTATGTGAAAGGTGCTGGATTAATATTTAGTTCTATGCCTTTTTAGACCCCTTTCTCTGTAGTTTCTGTATGTGCAAGTGATATCCGCATAGAGCTGTGCTGTAATACAATATATTCCATAATCAGACGTAATTATCCAACCTAGTAGTATAAATGCCTGCACTTTATATGTGCTCCCTCTAGGTGGCAGTATGCAGAGTGCCTTAATGTGATCTCTGTATTCCTCTGGGTGGAGACATGTATCTCTACCTATTAATAACCATTGGTTCCTCCAGTAATTTAGATGGTCTTTCCCCTTCATCCCCGCAGAAAACTTCAGATCAGTGCTAGGTGTGAATTCACACTCCCCATGGTCTTCAATGGTGACTCCCTCTGTTGTCGGCCCATCGAGAAGTGGGATTGCTCTGCCCCTTGGCTGCAAGAATGCAAGAATCAGGTTTTATATGGCATACGACGTTTACATGAAGGAAATACTGTCAGAAAACAGAGACTGCAGAATTTGTAGAGGGGATCGGGTTATAAACATACTACAAATTGTGCTCCAAACAAAAATTAGACGGGAAATCCAACACATTTAAACAAATTACAAAAAACAAAACATGAACCACAAGCCAGTGCAACAATAAAAGTGGCAACCCCACATCCATCCTTTAAATTAGTACGCCTGATTATCAGTAAGTGAGGACATTTCATTTATCTGCTAGGAGAAAAGAAATGTAAACATCCAGACTTACCACAACAGTTACCCCTTCATGTACAAAGGATGATGATGCATAGAGGCTGGTAGAGTATTTTCCAACATAAAGCGTAGGCCTTGTAAAAAAAATTAAAGTATACCAGATTAGTATAGATTGCAATAATCATTAGAAATACAATGTGTTTGTAAATAGAGCAATAAACTTGTGGTTGATCCTTCACAGTCTAGTATATACATTTCACGGAAGTAGGAGATCAGTTGTGATGTTAAGTGTGGATCATGCTGTGTTATGGTCATATTTAGAGAACCACGAGGCTCAAAATGGTTTAGCACAAAGTACAGAACCCACTGAGTCCATTCCAACAAGGTCAGACCTTATTAATGACTGAATCTAAGCCAACATACTCACATCAACTTGCTTTTTGTCTCGGTTTCTTTTGGAAACGGATACTTCCACTTTGTGATGCGTCCTACTTCCCCAGACATAAATGTCAGGTACCGAAGAGTTTCAACACCAACATTTGTATGGATCACCTTCCTCAGACCCTCTCTCTGCCAGATGTACAAGGCTACCACAGGGGAGGCGTAATTCTGTATCCACAAAACATCTCCAGAGTCACTGTCCACTGTAACCACCATCCCGTCACCGTTGGACACAAAGTGAGACATTTCTGGAGAAGAGGTAAAATAAATAAAAAATTAAATTTCAACAAAACAAACATGTACTGAACATTCTGAATCACAGACTTAACCATACATTCTATTATAATTACTTACTGTATTCCGTGCCCTCGTCGGGCAGAGTGGCAGCATAATCGTAGTAGGTGGCATTCCAACGCAGCTCTTTGTTTTTCGTGTCATACATGGTGATTGTATATTCTGAAAAAAACAGAGGTATTCGATTAGGTGACCTACAATCTTAACTATAAATGCTTGCTATTAGTAGATTCATGGTTACAGGTTACTTCTCATAAATCCAATATGGCAGTTACAATTCGCACACTGAAGACAGATGATGCATAGGCATTTTCAGGGTAAATACCTGTCCGTCCAAGATACAGGAGGGACGTGGAGGGACAGAGACTCTCTGCGAAAGAGGACGTCAGAGTCTGTTGTTTCTCCCCAGTTACCAGATCAATGACGTACCAGACATCTTGTTTCTTCCCTGTAATGAGTGAAAACAAATGGCTATGATGAGTACTGTGTAAAAAAATAAAAAATAAAATAAAACAGATATAACCATATCAACAGATTTACTCTGCAAGAAGATTTCAAAACAACAACAAAGAATTACAAAATAAAACAAACAGTATGCTCTATGAATAAAAGGTACTATAATCAACACACGCTACCATGCTCCCTGTACCAACAATAAATTGCACTACTGAGCTCCCTGCACTAACCAGGAACGCACACTACCACACTAAACATAAAGCATCATACAATGCTATCCGAACTAATCTTTTTATTCTGTATTTTTATTGTGCAAAGAAGAACAAACAAGCTTGTGGCGCCACGACAGCGTTGACAAGCCATGCATTAACTTACAGGAAAATACATTGCCGTGGCATGAAATAATTGCACTTTTTTATTTTTGTAAACCAAAATATGCAAACTAATCAATAAATTATAAAGAAAAACAGGTTAGTTGAGCTAGGTGAGTTTACCATACAGCATGGGGTTAGTATCTCAGATAGTAATGGCATACTGCTACAATTTGTCTTGGTAATGTCAGGGACTCCATCTGCCGAAGTTTGATGCATTTTTTAAATCGCAGGAGCACCAATATCACGTCGCGTCAGCCCCAGGCCTGCAACGGAGCTATCACCTCTGCCTGCTCCACTGTCTTGAACTCTGTGTAAGTCCAAGGCAACGGTCCTTGGGTGCCGCAGTACTGAAGACCTATGGCCCCTCTGCTGCTAAGCTCTCCAAGGGTGTGGGCAGTGAGGGGTTCTTCCCAAGTTAGCTCTTGGCCTGGAAAGGCGCCTCTGTGAAGGTGTGTTGTGAGCTGATGTAGAGCACTGGTTCTCCACCCACCAGTGGTGTTGGGATAGAAGTGCCTGCGGCCTTAGGGTCGCCTGTTTCCAGAAGCTTGCATTCAACAGGTATATTTATTACCTGTTGAATGCAAGCTTTTTAACAGCTTTTTTACCATTTTAACAGGTATATATTTAGCAAGTAGTTCTCCCTCTCGCGGACATGTGCTAGCGTCATGCGGTCTCATGGCCATCTTGAGGGAAGGGTTGGTACGCCCAGGTGTAGCATCCCCAGATAGGCACTGTGGCAGCCTCTTCAGTGGGGACCAGGATAACCACCCCTGGTCCAAAGGGTGGTGTGGGGGGTAACAGGACAAGGACAGTGCCAGGTAAGTTGCCAATGTGTATTGGCCTGGGCAGTAAGCAAAGCAGCAGCCGTCCGCCTCACTTCCCTCCCAGTAGGGCCTCTGTCTCCAAGTCTGTCTCCGGGACCCAGAATCACCCAATTTCAGGTGCTCCAGCTGCACCAGGACACTCCAAGTGCTTGTGCCATGGGCTTCCAGCCTATTACTGGCCGGGAAAAGCAAGCATTTATTGCACAATAGCTAGATTCCTTGGGAGCCATAGTAACTTGAAGCCTGCTGGCATGGCCGCCTGCCCCCTTCCCCGAACTAATATTGATGCACTTTCACTTCCATTACTAACCCTAATCCCCATTATCACAATTAATGTAAAGCACCATACAATTATCACACCAAAAAAAATTTCACATGCTTCTACAGTAATTTAATCCCTGTGTTATAAGTTGAATTGATCAATTTTATTTGGGTGCTCTTTGCACTCATCACCCTCATTAACGAATCCCATGATCATGCAGCGCCATCTACTGACTAACCAGTACAGTACGGTATGTACAGTACTTACCCATATACAAGACACCATCCGTACTGCGGCATGGAGAGGCCTGCACCAACTGAGGAATGGTAAATGGTAGTTTCTAATAAGAAAAAAATAAATACATATAGAACAGGTAAAATTAAAAGAAAATATGCAGTCAGATTTTAAAGGGAGACATTACTATTCACAGTGTGCAATTTAAATCCCTACTGTTGTTACCAAATTCGCTCTGCAGTCTAGATAAGGAGTTACGATTATAATTTACATAGAAGCAATATGTCCGATTCTAAGAAGGCATTCAGGAAAAGCTTTCAATGGATGCCAAATTGAGCATATCTCCACAGTATCAGCGGTCAAACATCTAATGTTAATGTAATCTAGAGGAATGACACCAATGTTCGTGGATAACGACACAATCCAGGTTTTGATTGTTATTTATAATGCGCCAACAAATTCGTCAGCGCTGTACAAGGAGTCATCACCAACACAGATCTTACCGTTAAGCCTTCATTATTTTTACTGCCCAAGGTGTACAAACTGCCATCATTTGGATCTGGAAGAAACGCCGGCCTGTGAAAGACAGACATAGTTTAACCTCTGCCGACGATTAGAAGATCAATAGCTTTAATGGGAGTGATTTGGGCTGAATTCCACATCTCCCTGCACTACAAAGTAATTTTACCCAAGATATAACTACGTAACTGAAAACAGTGTACAGTATGACACAGGAAGAGGATCTTACAAAGACGTATAAACAAAATATTCTCTTGTTAAAAAATATCTGGAGCAAACATTGGGGCAATGTTTTGGGGTTTGGCTGTTCCATGTACTATGGAACCCTAATACATTTTAATGAATTCACCCATTAACCCTTAGAGCATCAGGTGTGTCCAAAACATACATACATATACACACATATGTATATATAAATAAAAGTAGCGTGAATATTGACGTTTCGACCCCTCAGGGTCTTTCTCAAGACCCAATATACATATATATCGTCCAGCTGGCTAAATGATTATGTAAAGATCTTACTTTTCTGAGGTTCAGTATAAAATATTATAAAAGGTTAGATTTTAGTCGTACAATTCTCAGAATTTCCATTCTAATAAGTGATTCTGTTTAGTCATCAGATATTAAATTTTCTAGATGTGGATTAGTTAGCGACATGCATTGTTGGCTTCCTCAGTAAAACCAATCCTGGTAGAAACACAACAAGTATCTTTGAAAGGGAATGGTCTATCAAATACCAAAATCTTTACTTTTCCCCCACACACCCCCACTGGACCAAGATTGATGGGATTTGCAAAATTCTCATAGACTTCTAACAAACAGATCTAAGTAGAGGGCTTAAGTACAGAGCCCATACATGTACGTGGGACACACAGCCACCCACTGTCACTCCAAGATTTGATCTGTATCCAACGCGTACTGCAATAATGATGGCGGCCAGGAGAGGGAGATATGTATTACTATCCCTTCCCTTGCAGTCTGTAGTTGTGATTTTGTTACTGTGCGCACACTGACAGTAGCTGCCTTCCACAGAACAGGTTACTGGCTGTACACTGGGAGCAGAACCCAATGTAGGAAGTTTCTTATGGTGATCAGATGTGTTCGGCGTGGTACTGGAGTACAAAGGTTAACGTTGGGTGGCTGTCACCCTTGCTGCCCTGTTGTGTATTTGTACCCCTCCTCCTCTAGACTGGAAGTTAGTTTGAGCAGGGCCCTCATCTACCTATTGTTCCTGTGTCACTGTGTAATTGTCTCATTTATTGGAAGTTTTCCACTTTCATAATATTGTAAAGCGCTGTGGAATTAGTTGGCGCTATATAAATACCAATAATACCAACATACGTTGCAGGTTGACCTGATACTATACCACCCAAGTCCCCATCTCAGAATCTACGGGATGTATGTAAAACTTCACAATGAACATCTTTTAAAAACTGCAACTTTTATTAAACGGATAACTGAATAAAAAACCTGAGGCAAAAAAGTGCTGATTTCGTGAATAAAAAAAAAAAAAAAATCTAATTATTATGTAGTAACAACTTTAACTCTTTGTCTAAAATTCTGACCCCTTTTGCTTTAATAAAATACACTGGCCTTGTTTACTTCCCTTTTTTAAATGACACAATACTCTCAGCAGGTATGAAGTCCCTTTTAACAAATCTGAAGGGAAAAAAAGCCTCCCTTAGCACTCCGGCAGCTCCTTGGTTTGTGGTTTTCCACAGTTAGTCATCAGGAAGTTGGTCTTAAAGGACCACTTCAGCTTAATGAAGTGGTCTGGGTGCCAGGTCCTTCTAGGGTTAACCCATTTTTTCATAATTATAGCAGTTTCAGAGAAACTGCTATAATTATGAATGGGTTAAGCCTTCCCCCTAATCCTCTAGTGGAGGTCTCATTGACAGTCACTAGAGGCGCTTGCGTGCTTCTCACTGTGATTTTCACAGTGAGAGCACGCCAGCGTCCATAGGAAAGCATTGTAAATGCTTTCCTATGAGACCGGCTGAATGCGCGCGCAGCTCTTGCCGCGCGTGCGCATTCAGCCGGCGGGGCGTAACGGAGGCGGAGAGGAGGAGGAGAGCTCTCCGCCCAGCGCTGGAAAAAGGTAAGTTTTTACCCCTTTCCCCTTCCAGAGCCGGGCGGGAGGGGGTCCCTGAGGGTGGGGGCACCCTCAGGGCACTATAGTGCCAGGAAAACGAGTATGTTTTCCTGGCACTATAGTGGTCCTTTAAGGGTGATCTTTCATTTATAATGTTTCATTTAAATGGAATCTTCATGAATAACTACCTATATGTTGTATTGGAATTTTAGCAGAAATTCTAATGGAAACTGGAGATATACAAGACAATGTGTTGGATAAATGCCTTTGGAAGAAGATAAAACCAGATATTTCTCAGCAAGATGGCAGAACTAAGGGATAGAAAGTCTATATCCTAAATCATAGCTCCTGGTCATCCCATTACTCATTAATTCAATGCTGTTTACTTAAATGATGCTACTGTCTGAAAAGAATTGAGAGTATGCATTGCTGGGCCATGCTCATTACCCAGCATGCCCTGTGATGGTAATAAAGAATAGTTATCAATGCCAGTTGACAGGTTGGCATGTTTTATTTTAATGGCTGTAGGGCAGATTGAACACCAGTGTATAGTGTACACCAGTCTATTCTGGTGCAGATGGAGTAACCCAGCCAATACAGTCGGTATAGCGATAGGTGTCAGTAACACTGTGACATGAGCAAGAATATTCCATTGGTTTCAATAGCGATATCTCCACTTATGGATGCTGCCCCTACTTTTATGTTATCGGCAGATGTATAAATCTCCCCCAGGGTGTCTTCATGCCATTGTAGAACTGGTAGATTTACATGGATGATGCACAATTGTATAAGGGAAAGACAGTTTGGAGTCTTGGCTCCCTCCCACCTGTGTCAATACCCTCCAGGCTAAAGGACTAAAGAACTTACTCTTCAACGTGTGTCGGAACTTGAAGTACGGGATCTGCAGAAAGAAACAATTGATTAACAGTAATTAACAGAGAGCTAAATGTCAGATGTATCTTGGAACAAGTTCAAAACTCACATCTTACTAACATGATGCCAGCTGCTCATTTCACTCATTGCAAGGATGGTAATGTACACAGAGTAATGTTCTGAGCTTGGTGGGCAAATGTGCCAGGCTCTAGAATGCTCTGTTCTAATGACCAAATGTGCCAGGCTCTAGAACGCTCTGTTCCAGTGACAGCCAACTTATGAATAACCCCTCCTCTCCCCCTCTCCCACACCACCCCCTCCCTGATAAATGTGGATCTATATTTTTCCATGATACTTAACCAGTTTTAACATGGGCTGAGCATCATAGGAGATCCAGGAATAGCCCTCAGAGCTCCACAGTCTTTGCAGCAAGGTATCCCCAGGGATAGGGGGTGCTGAATAGCACCCCTCCAAAGGTATTTAATTACAACTCCCAAAGTTCTCTGCAAGTCAATGAATGACAGCATATTGTGGGAGGTGTAATATAACTTGATCTGGAAATGGCACATCCCCTGCTCTTTAATCTCCACCCCACCCTTTCCCTACGATTTAAAACATAACATCGTGCACATTTTGGTTATATCTCCAAACACAGACAAGTTTAAAAGGGGGTCTTAAGAATTTCACTGATGTGCAGTTCATTCACTCAACAGTGACTGGTGGGAGGACAAATTAAATACGAAGATTATTCTAAAAATTTTTTTTTTGTAGCAAATATCAGGTCGGAGATAAGAGAGGATTTGCCCAGGGAACACCATTTACTAAAACAATATATAAATCCATAACAGATTCAGACTTCGCTTTCCAGTCACCAAGGCCCAAACCCTGCAAAGACTAAAAGGGTCCAAGATCCCTAGCAGAGACTACCCACTCTGGTGACCACATGAGTATTGCAAATTGGCACGTAAACCTAAAATTGTAACATTGGTGTGGGACCCACCGATGTTGGGTGCTGTGACGTAGTTCCACCATACGGCCACTGGTGAAACTTAACCCCCATATTTGTTTCTGAGATATGGGATTTTAAGTAGCATTGTAAAGTTTAAAACTGTATTTTTGATTTTGTCCATTTAACTGTATTTACTACCCACTCTAACACAAAGATGACTAACCATAGGTACCCCCAAATATGTTTACTCCTACAATGCTCAGCCAGGCTTACAGCGATAGGTCTGTGATAACAAAATGTGCCATCATTGTGAGAACGTGACTGCGCAGATTTTATTGCACACTCAGGACCACATATAGTTAAGAAAAACGGATTTGCTCACCCTGCATAACACTGGAGTTTTCACTTTGTCCTAATCTGCACCCGGTTAGAGGCACTGGACAGGTCTGCTTGGTAGAGCAGGGAACGAATGTTTACCTTTCAGCCTTGACTGAACACACGAGGTGAAATGATGCAAGATAGCAGAAATCCTGCTGCCTGTCTATAGAATACACCAGAAAACCCTGGCACACAGCCGTATTAACAACACCCAGCCATCCACTATTACCCCGGTTCAACCCACAGCCAGGCCCACCATGCACACAGCCCGTTTGCTGCAAGGACACAGAAATGCGGCCATGTCTGACCCTATATAAACCCGCAAAGCATTGCGAAGATTCCATCACAGATTGCACATCATGGGCAGTGGTTGGAACAGGATGATAGCTTAGGGGTGCAGAGTTAATGAATGCAATGTTCTGGAATGAAGCATTTGTGCTTCAGAGTGTACCCTGTGATGGATGCAGTGCAACAAACTGCATGAAATTCAGCCCAGGGGATTAGCATTTCCCTAATTAAACACACATAAAGACCATTCACATGTAAATATTTAAAAGTCCCAGACATGGGAAGACGCCCCTTATTGTGTGAGATCTCTTCTGCTGGGAACAGAGAGCAAGGACTGGCCCTGTGGAGCTCACGGGGGGTAGGATCAATCTTCACCTGCTGATTGTTTGCAGAGCTAGGTGACCACTAACCTGTCTTCAGGTGGGGTCGTTTTATTGATATATTGCTCTGTATCACAGGAGATTAAATCAGAAATGGCCAAAAGCCACGACAGAAATAGTGTATCAATGTCAGGGTTACAGTGACCTGACTACAGCTCATACAGCAGAATAGCTCGCTGGCAGGTGCAGCCATGAATTTCACCTCCACCGTGGGGGAAATAAAAAAAATAAAAACACACAAAAACCTCCCTAAATCTATGAACATAGGATGGGAAACCATATTTTTTTTAATCTTTCCTGCGGTTTGTGGAAAGATGATGCAGGTTCAGTTTGCAAAACTTTAAAATGTTGTAGACAGAAAATGAGAAGAATTTATCTAATTCAGAGAAAGGCCGGTAAGGAGAGAGATGCAGGCAGGGCATTCAAGAGAGAGAGGGATTCAGACGTATCCTGTATCTAACTGCTGGCTAAAGAACCAAACAGAGCCATTGTTGGCAACCTTGTGCCTTCAAGATATTGTGGACTACATCACCCATATTGCTCTTGCAGTCATCATGCTCGAAAAGATCAGAGGAGATACAGTCGACAACATCTGAACTGCTGAAGGTTGCCTATCCCTGAGATACCATATACTAGACATGAGGCCCAGGCTACCTAGGTACCAACAAACATTTTAAACAATACAATAATCAACAGAGTCTCCACACTATCCATCCACACTGTGGCTCCATCAGTAGGTACACAAAATCAGAAATAAAAAAAAGGAGGGAAGCACTTTAGTAAGCTGTGCAACAAGTGCTACCACATTTATTGAATTACAAAGATATTTTGCAAACGGTTTGGGCAACATCTTGTCCTCAACCCCTGAGATCGAGAGAGGCTGAATTACCTTCTTTTAATGTCCACTTGATTGAGCCCGTTCTCTTACTGACAGCATGAAGACTGCCATCCAAGGTGGACACAAAGAGTAACGTTTCTGGCAGAGACACCGTACTGCAGCTCCCGCCATCCTGGAATGGAAAGATAATGGAATCAGTGGGGCCCTAGGAATGACGGCAAACCTTACGTAGATTTAGCAAAGACATTCATATTGAGATCTGACAGCGTTCTACTTTTAATACAATGGAGCAGAGATGGACACAAAGTAAAGTCATGCATTACATCCGCAAGAATCAGAAGGTGTGTTGGTGTAGACCAACAAGAGCTACTGATAATTAACACTTTCAAAACAAACTTTCAAAACAAACCTATTGTTATTGTGGTAGTGCAGATCTAATTAATGTATAGAAAGAGCATGATGTGTGTTAGACTAATTACATGTTCTGTCTAGGTTCACAATCCCACAAATTGAACACTTGAAGTTAAGGAAGAAAATAAAAAATAAAATAAAAAATGGAGAACGTGTGATTCTGGGTTTTGTGAGAGGGCGCGAGATGCCTATGATGAGGACTGACCGGAGTTACAACAGACAACCAATAATGACCAATGGCATTTCTGTCAGCACCACAATCTGTTCCCTACAGACCCTCGGACGGCATAGAATATCCCACCCACGTAGCAGACAGCCCTATAAAGTCTTGCGGTTACATAATGTTTTGGGAATTCCGTGTTGGAATGGAACCTTAAAGGGACAGCCCCATGTTATTTTTCCAATCTCTAGGCTTACAAACCATGGTGGGTGCTGTAATTCACCAAAAGCTTTAGAGTGATCTACCTTATCACCCCGGCATAATACATCATACGGAGTTCATCTGTATTTGTTTTGAATCTTTGGCATGAATGGGTTGGCTACAAAGCAGCTCGTAAGCAGTCCTACATAATCACTAACAATTCTACTATCTACAGGTATAATAAATACAATATATCGTGTTTAATAGTGTTAATATATAGATATATTTATAGTTTGTTTTTCTTAGCACAGCTGGAGGCGACCCAGACAGGATTTCTTGACTTGTTTGAAGCTCTTGGTGAGGACAAAACAAATAAAAACAGAGTCTAACGGATTGTCTGGGTTTCTCTTGTGCCACAAATAGTGACAAAAGTTCTCCTGAAAACCACAAAGCGACATATGGTTTATTTCCCAGAAACAGTAGCTCAGTTATCACACTGTGTAAACAAGCCGAGGCAGAAATAACCGCTGCACCTGCAACATTTACCTTGGGCCGAGGGATCCAAACAGCCGCTGCAGGCTGCGAGGGCGCTGCGTTCAGACAGACAGCGAGCATTAACACTTTATTGTCACAGGGCAGGAACAATAAAAAAAAAAAAGTGTATTATTAATTCATTTTGTAAAATCCAGCATTTAGGCACATTTTATCATACGGATGGGAAACCATGGCAACGCAGATGGTGGAAAGTAGCATTACCCATGATGCAATGACATACGAATTGGTCTCCATAAATTGAATTCTCCGTGCCGACAATATGTTTTCGAAAGTTATGGGTCCATGGACACAAAGGGAATCTAGGATTAGAAGCATTAATGCAGAATTTGTAGCTTACTCTGTGTGACAGAAGCTCCTGTGCCACTAGCTACCCTCCTCCTTACAATCTACAGACCCTGTCCCAGGACTCTGTGCCAGATCAGAGGATGGCCGCGACCTGGTGGAACTGTCGCATGGGGTGGGTACCTCCAATCCGGGTGCTAGTTGGACATTGGGGAGCTAGGGAGTGTGCTACCTAGAGATGTATGGTTTGTGGGGGTGCCGTGTTGGTGAAGAGGATTTGGGGGCTCAGAATGCACATTTGTACTGTGTATATATAGAGTGCTGGGTGTTCAATAAAATGTGTTTATTCTACTCCCTACATTCAGTCTCAACTAACGTTTTGGGGGAAAGGACTATAATCACTGCAGTTGTACATGAGTTAAGGAATCTAAGGAAAAAGAACTATAACCACTGTAGTCTTGTCCAGAGGAAAAAGGTCCCCCAGAGATCCCAGTGCAGCTTCAGTGACTGGGTCTGAAGTACTCCATAGTCCCCTGTTAGCGGTGAGGACCCGGATCTAACAGAGGTCCTCAGCCAAGGTACAAGAGCTCCGTTACAGTCTGCAAGGAGCAGACATTAAAGGAGTTAACAATTCAAGGTCAGGCGCTCCTGGCATTAGAAGGGTTAACTCATTCACTGATAGTTACTATCACAGCATTTACCCACTGTATCCTGCACTGCGAGCTGTCAACTCCATCCAAATACAAGGCCGAGGTCTGTTTAACGCCCGCCACTCTTTCCATTCATGCACAGGATGGGAATGAAGTGTACACACAGGAACACTGACAGGTGTTAAACAGACCAGCACCAAGTAAATAATGATAAAAACAACCGTTTGGGGTCAGGATCAGTCATTAAGGGGTTAACTGTGCATTTCTGGCACTTTAAAACACAGTTTGTACTTTAATCTTGCAGAAACTGATATTTCCGGACCCAGAGTTGGCTCGCTTCCCTTTATTTCTAAGAAGAGTTAGCAGGTTGAGAAACAGCCCAGATACTAATCTGGAAAGGGCAATGATTACCTACGTACAGTGTACAGCAGGGGGTGGTTAACGGGTAAGCCCCAGGAGCCGTACAACCACCATGTTGCACTGCATACTCATAGAATGACAAGTTATCATGGCTGGGGGGACACGGCCTGCTTGGTATACAGAGTCTGCAGATAAAGTAAGCTATTATATGACTAGACATGAGACAAGGTAATTTATCAATCATTAAACACGATTACAACAAAAGAAACAGATTTTAACCCCTTAAGGACACATGACGTGTGACATGTCATGATTCCTTTTTATTCCAGAAGTTTGGTCCTTAAGGGGTAAAAGCAAGGTTTAAAATCTGAGCAGGTTTTAATTCTCGGATTTCTATACATGGAGTTTTCCTTACAATATTACATGATAATTATATTTAATGTTTAAACTCCATCCTGTAAAATCTGCCCTTTGTATTAAAGCTCACAACTGAATGAAGAGCAGTTACCGTCAACACATGCCAGTGGAAGTTAACGGTTTACCCATTGTGAAACCAGCACCCCCTTGTGGCAAGGCAAAACATACAAAAACACTATTTGAATTATTCCAAGCCCTAAAAGAATCTGGGTCACAGAAAGACTAAATTGCAGTAATAACGGACAGTGAGCTGTATGATTAGTTGAGACACGAAAAAGACTAAAGACAAAATGGTAATGAAATATTGCATAAACCGAGGCACAATAACTGGCATGGTGCCACTCAGCAGAACCCACACTGCCTGGCACAGCAGATCTGTTGCATCAAAGACTTGACACAGATTTTTTAACCAATTCATTTCCAAGCAGTTTGCATTATGTCACTTCAGGGAGAAAGCACACAGCAGCACACAAATAGGCCACCATCTGAGCTTTTACAGGGGAACATCTTAAAAATATAGAATCATTTCAAACTGAAAAGATATATAAATATGAGCAGTACTAGAGAAGGCAAATCACGTTAAACAATAAACCTTGTAACTAGGAAAAAAAAAAGAGAGACCGGTCTTGTGCCATCAAAACTAGACTTTGTGCAAAAATTCATTAGGACCGGTTCATCCGGATCAAATTTCTTTTAATCCACACCTGAACAAATTGATTTGTCCAGAATTTATCCGTGGAGTCTTATTAACTGAATGAGACCCTACAGGTAAATCCAAGACTAATCAATGTCCTTGGTGTGGATTAAAAGTATTTGATCCAGACCAACCGGTCCAAATTATTTTGTTTGCACAACCATGTACAGCAGAGTAAAAGGTTAATAATGCAGCATATTTGTATTTAACATAAGAGGGCCTGCAGTGGCCCACTGAGAGGGCAGATCTATTACACCTGGGACCAACTGCACCCCTGCCCCCCAAACTGTTGATTTATATATCAGTGATGCTAAAGACCGATAGGGCACTATGATAATATATTCGCAAAACCCGCTCTTTAATCAATAAGCCGAGAAATGAGTTTACAATTCACAGTACTGAGAATTCTAAATATTGACACTTCTATTTAAAACACAATTAAATTAACTGCCATTATCAGATACAGCACATTCTGCTGGCTCCTTTAATGTTCTGCAACATTTAGTAAGTACATAAAAGGGACAAGGCTGCCCTGTGATTATATTGTAAACAGCAGGCCTATTACTAGATTACATGGGGCTAGCACTGCAGTATAACTCCATGCCAAATACACAAACAATGTCTTGAAGATAAGGTGCTGGGGCAAACGCAATCATTCCAGATTTATTAAGAACCAGGTTTATTTTTACTGGGAAATACGATCTTCACCGGGAGAAATAAAACCCCCAAAATGCAGACAAGACATTTTGTGATCTCTGCAAAATCTGTTTGTTTTGTTACAAGCAGTTAAATTGTCACCAGATCGGTTACATAGTAGAATGTAACCTTCCGTTCTAGAACCAAAAATTTATTATAAGTATTTCATAAAGATAAAATGTTTATGGAATGCTCATATTGACTGCTTGGGGATTTTATTGAGATTCCAATGCAGTCAAAAGGGACTTCTTTGCCTTGTGGCAAAGTCTAAAGTTGAAAAAAAAAAAAAAAAAGCTTGACAAAAAGTGGAACTTCTGCCGTCAAGTTTTGTCAGTTCATCGCGATTCAGGATATAATCGACGCTCCCACAGTAATCTGTGTTGTACTCGCACGCATGCGCAAGAGTTATGAACGGACATGCTCTCCCGGCAAGTAACGCATTAAGAAAGATGATGGCGGAACCCATGGGGAAAAGATTTACGGAAGTATAACTTACTTCTGATACCCGCTGGGGTCACTGCACTATTGGGGGTCTTGCACAATAAGTAAAGACTCCGGGAAAGAGACAGAGCTGTTTAAAAAGTACCGCTGCCCATTTAATGGCAAACGGGAGACAATCTGGATCTGTACCTTATATTGTTATTGATTTAAAAAAAACAAAAAAACCAAACACACAAACCAACCGATGATAGACTTGGGCAAACATTTGTTTTGAGCGGTTTGTTCACATCCAGACAAATCAATCAATCTTCTATTCAATAAATAAGATTGCCTAGATAAATCCTGGACAATTTATTTGTCAAGGTGTAGGTTAAAATGCATGTGATGTGGACGAACTGTCCCAAATTAACTTGGGAGTAGTCGCCTTCGAAACAATTAGATGGTTGACACAGAGAATGGGCAAACAGTTGGTCCTGCTAAGTACTAAGCTACTACAAAGGGAGCATATAACTGATGAGAGATTCCAATCAATATGGCATTCCCAGCTCAGAACATCTATCCATCTGTAACTGGTGACAGACTCACTACCAATAGAGCAAAACAACATAAAACTCTATAAATGGCTGACACATCTACCTGTGACTGGTGACAGTCTCCCAGAGCAATGCCCCCCTCTCCCCAAAAAAGCACAACTTGTTCTGAGAGCTAGGGACTTTATGGGGAATGTGTAGGTCACACCTAGGCCTGCCATATAAACAGTAGGCTTATTTAAACTCAGAGCAGATCTAATCACTCCTTGCTGGTAGAATTGCAGGTTATTTACCAGTAACAACGGGCACCATTGTTCAAGGTTTTTCAAACTCTAATTGAAGTGGTTTGATATCAGCCGATCAAGTAGCAGGTTCTTAACTTCCAGCAAGAAGAACTACTGATAGTGGGTACAATCATTACATCTACTTAACGCGGCTGGACGGTAACCATATCGCAAAGCTGCAGCTCCATTTATAGATAAAAACAGTGCATGGATTGCATTTATATAACAGTCTGTGAAACGCGTTTTCCAGGGCAGAGCATTTCAAATTAAAGTTTATTTTTGCAACCACAGAATGTATCATCTGATGCAGGAGAATTCTCAGCTTGGTAAATAAGCTTAAACCTTTAGATAACCCGTCGTGCCAAGTTTATGTATCAACGGCAGCAAGTTAGCCTTCAGGTCAAGTCTGCAGAGTTTATTTGGAAAATCAATGAATTGATCATTCTCAGATCTCACTGCTCCCTCAATCTTTTCAACTACATTATCCTCTAAAGCCAACGAGGTAAGCCACCCAACGGATAAATTGTCATCCACCATCTGCTAAACAGCAACCGCAGATCACAGACCATTAGCCAACAAGTTAAACTGGATAATTATTATCCCCGCCAGGCAACCACAGATAACATTAGCCCACCCAAACGTAAGTAAACATCAGATAACCGCCAGATATGTAATTACCCCATAAAAAAAAAAAAAAAGCAACTTTAAATAAATGATCACCTACCAGAAACAACAAATTACAATTGGTAAAATAAAACCACACATTATAAACAATGTGAATAAATCGATCTGCAAAAACAAACAAAAAATTGAAAACACATCTCATGATTACTTGCCTAGAACATCTATATATTCTCTGGTATGAGAGTTACCATAAAATCTCATGAAATAATAGTGATACTTCAAACAAAACAACAGGTAATGAAACTAAAAATGTAAAACTTAATGTAAATTTAAGATGAGCTAAATAAGGCCGTGCCACACACAAGGATCGTTTCAGATTCGCGTTGATGTAATTTCCAGCCTTGTGATCGATGACCATCCGTGTGAATTCACCGTTAGCAGATCTATTTGGAGAGAATGCCATGCGCGATATACTAGGGCTCAGACAGCATGAATTAACACACATTAACACAAACAAGATAAATCTCACAGTATAAAAAACAGCCAGAGAGCAGCGATAGACAATAAGTAAAAGAATTGGAATTATCATTTCTCTATAAAAACTAAAAGTACTCATGTTTCTCTTAAAATAAATGAATTAAAGCGCCTAAAATGAATGGTGTCACATTGGCATTGCTTCCTTTGGTGTATAGAGTGACCTTTTTATTGCTTCCTTTGGTGTATAGAGTGACCTTTTTATAAAAGTAAAATGTTACAGATAAAATCTCATACAATGATACTCCTCCCTCTGCATTTCACTCTGTTGTTTCTACATGTGCAGTATGCGTTGGACGTCATTATATTGTCCATAATTCTTGGCTTACATTTCATTCTATTGTATCTGTTGAACGATTGTGAAATTTAATCTCGTGTTCACGGGTTTAAATATAACTAGTGGGGAGAGGACAAGTAGAAGATGACAAAAGGTACAGAAGCCAACAAGACAAAAAAAAAACAAAACCAACTTGGACATTTATTGGAGAGTGGAAGCACGTCGGGAATCTAAGACCATTGGTTCAAACTACATTGAGCATGAGAACATAGTAAGTTAGTCCGATATTAGGAACATGGCTTATCTTCCATTGGATACAAGGGATATTATATACAGTACAGACATATGAAGATGGATGAGTCAAACAAATGAGTTTCAAAAAGCAGAGTATGAATAAATCTCTACATAAGCGACTTGTGTGTGATTTCTCCTTCCCAAATATACAATTTACATACAAGCTGCCAGTCTCCACAGCGCCCACACCCTTCCAGCTGCCAGTCTCCACAGCGCCCACACCCCTCCAGCTGCTAGCCCAAACAGCTGCCAGTTTCCACAGCGCCCACACCACTCCAGTTGCCAGTCTCCACAGCACCCGCACTCCTCCAGCTGCTAGCCCAAACAGCTGCCAGTCTCCACAGCGCCCGCACCCCTCCAGCTGCTAGCCCAAACAGCTGCCAGTTTCCACAGCGCCCACACCACTCCAGCTGCCAGTCTCCACAGCACCAGCAATCTTCCAGCTGCCAGTCTCCACAGCGCCTACACCCCTCCAGCTGCCAGTCTCCACAGCGCTCGCACCCCTCCAGCTGCTAGCCCAAACAGCTGCCAGTTTCCACAGCGCCTACACCCCTCCAGCTGCCAGTCTCCACAGCGCCTGCACCCCTCCAGCTGCTAGCCCAAACAGCTGCCAGTCTCCACAGCACCCACACCCCTCAAGCTGCCAGTCTCCACAGCGCCTACACCCCTCCAGCTGCCAGTCTCCACACTTCTATAGCTAAACCCTCCCCATATGACAGTTCACGTATTTAGTTATTGCTCATTATCTAATTTTTTCAAACGGTAATTAAATCACGAACAGGTTACTAAATAATAGGAATTGGACCCAAAATGCCTCTGTTCTATGGGTGAATATTCTTATTAATTTTAATTCTGAAAAGCCTCAGTAATACAGACACAATACAGTTTTTGACTGGGATATCCGCATACTCCATATTTATCCCATGTGTATAGCATCCAGATGGTAACAGAAGCAGCTAATTTAGTGACTCCTCATCCCCGAGTTGGGACCCAAAATTGCTTTATCAAACAATGTCAGTAGGTCCCCAACTCTCAAAAGTGGCACATTATCTTCATCCAGCCCCTAACGAACTAAAATAAATTAACAGAACTTCCTTCCCCAGGGCAGTGAGAGAACCTTTTCATACTGGGACAGTCTAATGAAGGCATTCAGCAGAATTTATTCAGTTACATATTTTATTATTTATAGATTGGATCATCAAGCTAGCGCCACGCATGCCATCTGGGACTCAGTACCAACCTGCACTGCACTCCCAGCGGGTACCATTGTAACTTCTTCCAATATATCCATTTATAACCGGGGAGAACACATGGTTTCTGTATATTGATCACCAAATCCTGTGCGTTCAACAATAAATGCACACAGAGACAGAAACCGCAGCAGATCTGGGTGCAACCGTGGACAAGCACACAGCTAGAGATGTACACCATGTACAGCAGGGGTGCACAGAATGTAGGTCACCAGATGTTTTCAAACTACAGCTTCCATGATGCTTTGTAATCCTAAAAGTATTCTAAAAGGCATGCAAAGCATCATGAGAGTTGTAGTTCTACATCTGGAGATCTACCTTTTGTGCACCGCTGCTGTAGAGGGATGGATGACGGACAGGTACATATTCTATAAGAAGAGGTAGGTTGGAGCATAATGTAGAAGGTCAGGTAAGTAGGGACACACTGTATAGAATAAGAAGGAATCTGGTACATACTGTAAAATGATGGCTAGTGGGAGACACTGTACAGTGAGAGATAGGTAGGTACACACTGTACAGTGAGGGATAGGTAGGTACACACTGTAAAATAATTGAAAATTGTACAGGAAGGATGGAAAGTGCATAATGTAAATCTATACACACGATATAGGTAAGTATACAATGTATATTAATGTAAAGTAGTTACACCATGTCTAAGGAGAAAATGTAGAAAGGTTTATAAAGTAAGCACTGTACAGAGAGGGGAAAGGTAGGTACACACTGTACAGAGAGGGGATAGGTAGGTACACACTGTACAGAGAGGGGATAGGTAGGTACACACTGTACAGAGAGGGGATAGGTAGATAGACACTATAATTACTATAATCAGTTACCCACGGACAATGAGTGACAAGTAGAAGACACTCTAAAGGGGAGATGGCAAGCACGCCAGGTAGGTACACACTGGACAAGGAGGGCCAGGTGGGTACACACTGGACAAGGAGGGCCAGGTAGGTACACACTAGGAGGGCCAGGTGGGTACACACTGGACAAGGAGGGCCAGGTAGGTACACACTGTAATGATGGAAGGTAGGTACATACTGCACAGGGAGGGCCAGGTAGGTACACACTGTAATGATGGAAGGTAGGTACATACTGTACAGTGAGGGCCAGGTAGGTACACACTGTAATGATGGAAGGTAGGTACAAGGAGGGCCAGGTAGGTACACACTGTAATGATGGAAGGTAGGTACATGCTGTACAGGGAGGGCCAGGTAGGTACACAGTGTAATGATGGAAGGTAGGTACATGCTGCACAGGGAGGGATTACACACAGGTCAGACAAAGCTCTGAGTGAAGCCACTTACCATATGGAGCAGCAAGAAGCAGCTCAGTAGCTGCAGCAGGATCCGGGCCATGCCCCTGCCAGCACTGGGTGCCCCAGGGTGGGCAATGCGAGCTCACTGCAGGGCAGAAGGTGGCAGAGAGCTGGGTAGATCTAGCAGCTGATTCCAATCTGCACCTTCCTCCATTACTGTTCAATGTGTTGCTGCTTCCTGTAGGTGGAGCCAAACCTCCCCCTGCTGACATCACAGATATTTAAATATCCTGGATCCCTGGCACAGCATGGAGTCCTCCTACAGACACAGGGAACAGGCTGAGTGATGGCTGACTGCATTGCTCATCAGGCTCAGCCAGCCATGTAGAAATAGCCTTAATTTCAGAAAACACACAGCTTTCAGTGTTTGAGATATCCAGGATTTTATAATATTGCAGTGCTGTGGTCATTGAATGTAATAATGGTCTCCTAATTGATCTATTCTGTTATCCTAGCAATATTTCTTATTCATGCTGATGGGCAGTGCATGCAAACTGTTGCCCCCATAGTAGGTAGAAGTTATGTGCTGCAAGGCAAATCCTTTGGGATTCCAGCATTAAGAAATTGATTTCCCTCTTGTAGTGAATTCACATACTGCAGGGCAGCCCTTTTCATGTACCAACCTGCAGCATGTTCAATAGATATGACCAAGAAAACAATTCTGGTTCTGGTAACTTCCCTTCCTACTGGATATGCTGTCCTAATGACACTGTACCAAAGAGCTTACCATCTATTGCGATTCCAAGATGATACCATAATGGTAGATTATCCTGTAAAAATCTAGGCTTTTTGCGATTTATTTTATGGTTAATAACTCCCTATAACATGGAGTTGACTAAATAAATAATTCTCATATTTGTGGAAATCCAACATATTTATTGTCCATCATGTCACGAAAGACTGTATGGGAGAATGGGGTTCCTCTTTTAACTGGGAGCAGGACTGGTCCCCTCAACCTAAGGCCTAACCCTAACCTGAAACCCTGCTAACCCTGACCTAATAATACATGGACCATAACCTGGGACAATTCTAACCTAACAATCCATGAATCCTAAACTGGGACAATTCGAGTTCTAACCTTAGAATCCTTAAACCCAAACCTGGGACAATTCAAGTTCTAACCTTAGAACCCAAAAACCTTAACCTGGGACAATCCGAGTTCTAACCTTAGAATCCTTAAACCTTAACCTGGGACACTACTAATCCTAAACCAACAATTCATTAACCATAGACTTTGATTCCACTAATCATGAGCCCACCTAATATGCACTCTTGACCTCAGACTCCCCAAACCCTAATCCGGGACACCACTAAAGCCAACTCTTTAACACTCTCTCTTTCCAGCTGTGGCCCCTAACTCAGATTTTGAACTCCCTGAATGTATCCTGAAAGCTGGCAACTACAATCGTGATCCCCTAAACTATAAACCTGGAGCCTGACCTACCCCCCCATAAATAGACTAATATGAAATCTGATAAGGAGTCAAATACGATTGTGCCCTAATGATGTAGAACGGCTCATTACACTGCTGTTTACAGGGTTATTCACTAACATGAGAATTCAGGGTTAATACAAAGTGAATTTCAAATTTAAGGCCAGAGCAACGAAAAGAAAAGCAGAGTATTTACCTAAAATTTACCTAAAATTTGAAATTCTCTTTAACTTCTCACGTTAGTGAATAACCATGATAATTTCCTTCCCCTGAATCCAGTTATGTCTATAAACATCGAGTTCTAAATGAAATGTCGGAGGGTAGGTAGTGACGGCTGACGCAGGGGATTGAATGGAAGCAAATTTCCTTTGCGAAAAACAAGCATTTGAGGAACTTAATATTCAGTCATGGAAAGATTCCACGCACATTAAACAGGTCCCTGCGTAATACAATCCTTCCTGTCCTTTTATTTACCTTGTGCCATCTGTCGTACTGAGAAATAAAAATAATAAATATTTACAAAGCGGCGACAACCTATTACGGGTGCTTTCATTTAAATAGGGGGTTTACAGAAAAATTCATAGTTCCACTACACAGGGTGGTGTGGCCCTCAGAGTTATCACTAGCTCCAGATTAACAGCACTGAGTTATTAGCTCCGGGAAAAAGAGACCCCAGACCCTCACCGTATATTCTACGTATGATCCACGGGTTATACAATGCAGGGATAAATACAGACATCTATTGGTGTACACAGGATACAACATATTATCTATATAGCACCCGCATAGTGTACTTAGATTCTAGGAAAAGGTATATTGCGGGGCCCCACTGAAACAAGCACTGTCCTACGGGATGTAAATTTATTAAAAGAACACGCTGAGCACCATAACCACTACACTGTGCTGTAGGGCTTTGGTTCCAGGAAAAAATATTGATATTGATAACTACGAGTAGTAATATTACTAACACGGGATAGCATTAATATCGATACATGGGAACTACGAGTAATAATATTACTAACACGGGATAGAATTAATATTGATACCTGGGAACTACGAGTAATAATATTACTAACACGGGATAGCATTAATATCGATACCGGGGAACTACGAGTAATAATATTACTAACATGGGATAGAATTAATATCGATACCGGGGAACTACGAGTAATAATATTACTAACACGGGGTAGCATTAATATCGATACCGGGGAACTACGAGTAATAATATTACTAACATGGGATAGAATTAATATCGATACCGGGGAACTACGAGTAATAATATTACTAACACGGGATAGAATTAATATCGATAGCTGGGAACTACGAGTAATAATTTTACTAACACGGGATAGCATTAATATTAATACCTGGGAACTACGAGTAATAATATTACTAACACGGGATAGAATTAATATGGATAGCTGGGAACTACGAGTAATAATATTACTAACACGGGATAGAATTAATATTAATACCTGGGAACTACGAGTAATAATATTACTAACACGGGATAGAATTAATATTGATAGCTGGGAACTACGAGTAATAATATTACTAACACGGGATAGAATTAATATTAATACCTGGGAACTAAGAGTAATAATATTACTAACACAGGATAGAATTAATATCGATAGCTGGGAACTACGAGTAATAATAATACTAACACGGGATAGAATTAATATTAATACCTGGGAACTACGAGTAATAATATTACTAACACGGGATAGAATTAATATCGATAGCTGGGAACTACGAGTAATAATATTACTAACATGGGATAGAATTAATATTAATACCTGGGAACTACGAGTAATAATATTACTAACATGGGATAGAATTAATATCGATACCGGGGAACTACGAGTAATAATATTACTAACACGGGGTAGCATTAATATCGATACCGGGGAACTACGAGTAATAATATTACGCATGGGATAAATTAATATAAATGGGAACTCGTATAATATTACTAACACGGGATAGAATTAATATCGATAGCTGGGAACTACGAGTAATAATATTACTAACACGGGATAGCATTAATATTAATACCTGGGAACTACGAGTAATAATATTACTAACACGGGATAGAATTAATATGGATAGCTGGGAACTACGAGTAATAATATTACTAACACGGGATAGAATTAATATTAATACCTGGGAACTACGAGTAATAATATTACTAACACGGGATAGAATTAATATTGATAGCTGGGAACTACGAGTAATAATATTACTAACACGGGATAGAATTAATATTAATACCTGGGAACTAAGAGTAATAATATTACTAACACAGGATAGAATTAATATCGATAGCTGGGAACTACGAGTAATAATAATACTAACACGGGATAGAATTAATATTAATACCTGGGAACTACGAGTAATAATATTACTAACACGGGATAGAATTAATATCGATAGCTGGGAACTACGAGTAATAATATTACTAACATGGGATAGAATTAATATTAATACCTGGGAACTACGAGTAATAATATTACTAACATGGGATAGAATTAATATCGATACCGGGGAACTACGAGTAATAATATTACTAACACGGGATAGCATTAATATCGATACTGGGGAACTACGAGTAATAATATTACTAACACAGGATAGCATTAATATCGATACCGGGGAACTACGAGTAATAATATTACTAACACGAGATAGAATTAATATTGATACCTGGGAACTACGAGTAATAATATTACTAACACGGGATAGAATTAATATCGATAGCTGGGAACTACGAGTAATAATATTACTAACATGGGATAGAATTAATATCGATACCGGGGAATTACGAGTAATAATATTACTAACACGGGATAGCATTAATATCAATACATGGGAACTACGAGTAATAATATTACTAACATGGGATAGAATAAATATCGATACTGGGGAACTACGAGTAATAATATTACTAACACGGGATAGCATTAATATCAATACATGGGAACTACGAGTAATAATATTACTAACACGGGATAGAATTAATATCGATAGCTGGGAACTACGAGTAATAATATTACTAACACGGGATAGCATTAATATCGATACCGGGGAACTACGAGTAATAATATTACTAACACGGGATAGCATTAATATCGATACCTGGGAACTACGAGTAATAATATTACTAACACGGGATAGAATTAATATTAATACCTGGGAACTACGAGTAATAATATTACTAACACGGGATAGCATTAATATCGATACCGGGGAACTACGAGTAATAATATTACTAACACGGGATAGAATTAATATCGATACCGGGGAACTACGAGTAATAATATTACTAACACGGGATAGCATTAATATCGTTACCGGGGAACTACGAGTAATAATATTACTAACACGGGATAGAATTAATATTAATACCTGGGAACTACAAGTAATAATATTATTAACACGGGATAGCATTAATATCGATACCGGGGAACTACGAGTAATAATATTACTAACACGGGATAGCATTAATATCGATACCGGGGAACTACAAGTAATAATATTACTAACACGGGATAGCATTAATATCGATACCAGGGAACTACGAGTAATAATATTACTAACACGGGATAGAATTAATATTGATACCTGGGTCATAATAATAAAAATAATAATAAAATAATAATTATTATAATAAGTGGGTAAGGAGGTCACGTGGGTTCCCAGGTCTCTCCTCGTGCCTGAAGCTGTTGCTGTGGAAACAGTACCTGTCCCGCCTCCCACTCTGATTGGTCAGTGAGTAAGCCGGAAATACGTCACTAGCTCGCTTTATTTAAGGCCGAGCCTCGCTGCGCCCTGTCCTTTGTGCCGCAGTATCGGTGAGTGAGCAGTGCGTTTTCTGGTTATCAAGTTTTCCGGCCTACTGTCGCTGGGATCCCGCCATTAGATTGCCAGCTCTGCGGCCCACTGCCCCGGGGATCCCACCATTAGATTGCCAGCTCTGCGGCCCCACTGCCCCGGGGATCCCACCATTAGATTGCCAGCTCTGCGGCTCCACTGCCCCGGGGATCCCGCCATTAGATTGCCAGCTCTGCGGCCCACTGCCCCGGGGATCCCAATATTAGATTGCCAGCTCTGCTGCCCCCTGCCCCGGGGATCCCAATATTAGATTGCCAGCTCTGCGGCCCACTGCCCCGGGGATCCCGCCATTAGATTGCCAGCTCTGCGGCCCACTGCCCCGGGGATCCCGCCATTAGATTGCCAGCTCTGCGGCCCACTGCCCCGGGGATCCCAATATTAGATTTCCAGCTCTGCGGCCCACTGCCCCGGGGATCCCAATATTAGATTGCCAGCTCTGCGGCCCACTGCCCCGGGGATCCCGCCATTAGATTGCCAGCTCTGCGGCCCACTGCCTGGTTGTCCCACCATTAGATTGCCAGCTTTTTGCGGCCCACTGCCCTGGGGATTCCGCTATCAGATCACAAGCTCTGCAGCCTTTGCCAGCGTGTTTGTGTTGGCCTTTAGAGTGCAAGCTCTGTAGCCCAGCTCTGGGATCTTAATCTGAGTTGATTACCATGATCCAAAGGGTAAATTAATTCTCTCACTTGAGCATAATAAACATGGCAGCTGTTCACTTACATGATGATTTCTAGTGCGTTAGACTTCTGAATCTGATGAAGTAACTAAAAAATCTGATGTCTGTTGCCTTGTGTGCTACTTAGTAGACCGAGCCCTATATTATAACAAATCACTAATTCCTGACTTACTTTTCTCTTTCAGACCAGAAGAAACCACCAAGCTGCTATGGACCTTATGGGATTACACTGATCAGCCACAACATTAAAACCACTGACAGGTGAAGTGAACAAGATTGAGTATAGCTGTACAACGGCACCTGTCTCAAGGGGTGGGATGAATTAGGCAGCAGAGAAGTCAGATCTTGAATTTTATGTGTTGGAAGCAGATAAAATGGGCAAGGGAAAAGATCTGAGTGACTTTGAGAAGGGCCAAATAGTGATGGCTAGACGAGTGGGTCAGAGCATCTCCAAAACGGCTCATCTTGTGGGGTGTTCCCGCTATGCAGTGGTTAGTACCTACCAAAAGTGGTGCAAGGAAGGAGAACCAGTGAACCGGCGTCAGGGTCATGGGCGTCCAAGGCTCATTGATGCACAGGAAGAGCAAAGGCTAGTCAGTCTGGTCGAATCACACAGAAGAGCTACTGTAGCTCAAATTGCTGAAAAACTTAATGCTGACCATGATAGAAAGGTGTCAGAACACACAGTGCATCGCAGCTTGCTGCGTATGGGGCTGCGTTGTCGCAGACCGGTCAGTGCCAATGATGACCCCTGTCCACCACCACCCAAAGAGCCTTTACCGGAGACGTGAGCGTCCGAACTGGACCATAGAAGAATGTTGGCTGGTTTGATAGTTTCTTTAGATTAGTTGGATGGCTGTGTCGTTTATCTGGGGACAAGAAGGCAGCGGGATGCAGTATGGTGAGAATACAGGCTGGTGTCTTCCTGTTAGAACTTATTATAATAAAGGTATAATTTCACTGATCTGAGTCCTGTTTCTTTATTTACTCCAAGCACTGTCTTTGAACCTTTGAATTGCCCTTTCTGTGGCTTCATTGGCCAAGCATCAGTGCAAGAAAAAGCTGTATGTTTATAACTGGTGCTGCTTGGCACATCCCAAGTTGCACTTTTAAAAGCATGCTACACTCGCTGTGAAAGGGTATCTTTAGCACGACTTGCAGAATCACTCAAACATGTGCTCCATTTAATAAGTTATAACAGGCTTTCCCAAACTCCAGCCTTCCAGATGTTGCTGAACTACAACTCCCATGATTCTCAGCCTATCTAGTTCATTCAGCGAATCATGGGACTTGTAGTTCAGCAACATCTGGAGGGCCGGCATTTGGGGAAGACTGTTAACATAATTTTAGCTTTGTCACTAAAGACACGTGGCAGCTATTAATAATTTCTGTTTGCAGTACACCATGTGGCTTATCCCGTACCCTATTGAAATGGAGTAATATACTAATTTTCAGTATTCTGGAGGAAGCTGGCTGAGGATCGTTGGTGTTGCAGTGAGTTCCTGGTCAAGGGGGTTTATATATAATTTCCCACATTGTTTCCATCTATTCTGTGTTAAAGGGACACTGCAGGCAACAAAACAACTTTATCTAAATTAAAGGGATTCTATAGGTGTGTTTTTCCTGGCACTATAGGTTTAATTGGACTCCCATACTTTAGCCACTTACCTGAATCTAGCGCTGGGTCAGGTTTTGCCCACGCTTGCCAGCCGGCAGGGGAGACCCAATGCACATACTTGGTAATGGCTTAGAGCTGCAATGTAAACTCTGGAACTGTAATGTTTTACATTGCAGCACTAAGTGCAAAAGGGTCCCAGCACCCAGACTACTTCAATTAGATGTTGTTATGGTGTATAGAAGCACTCTTACCTCAAGGGGTTAAAACTTTCTCAAACTGTTTAACTCCAAAGGTACCTCCAGCATTGATATCCTCCCCTCCCCCTGCGGCTTCAGATTTAGGAAGGGTGTGGTGGTGTTTGGCCGAGAGTGGTTGACTGGGGCTCTTAGTGAGAGACGTATCTCAAGTGAATGGCGAGTCACTGATTGACTAAAAGCACTAGTTAACCACTCTCAGCCAATCAGCTTTCTGGTGGCACCCCGCACTTCCTGAATCTGAAAAAACAAGCTGGATTAGGCCTGTGGGGGTGGACGTAGTTGCTGGAAGCAGTAATTGGGTTATACTGTTTGAGGACGGTTTAACCGTTTTGAGGTAAGCGTGCTTCCTGTCAACATTACAGCTTCATTTAAATGAAGGTTTTTGTATATTTTAAATGTTTTCTTACACGGGATTTTGCAGGGTGGGAGCGACACAAGGCCAATACCAATAATTATTAAATATATGCTGCGTCTTCTATACTGGTCGTTTCTTTAGCGCACATTTACTTTGCATTCATTGGGTATTTGTGCTGGAGAAAGCAATATTAATACTGCTTTGACCGCTACTATTATGTAACTGTTAATGCTAGCATTAATTCTAATGCATTTTGAAATGCAAAAATTATTACATTTCAAAATTTTAAGTGGCTACCAGGATCAGAAGCTGACTACACAATAGTTAGCCATAGAGGTGGCCCAGCCAGAACAAGGTAAGTGAGCAATAGGTGCCAGGGGGCTTCTACCATTAGAGGCATTACAGGCAGATGTAGTGGCTATAATAAAATATTTAACCAGGAGAGGTACATTCAGAATACTCTGGTTTCAAAGTACGTTCAGGGGATCTTACTATTACCCAACATAATGGTGCTCATTTTACCTACCTTGGAAGGATGAATGGCTGTGTCAAACGCTGCTGGGAATTGAGCCTGCTTGGAGGTAACGCTTTAAGGGAAGCCATCATGGTAAAACCAGGCATTGGCTGCCCTAGACCAAATAGAAACACTCATTCCCCATCCAACACCACAGATGGTTATTGTCTGAAGTGTTGGAGATTTAAAGTAAATTCACAAATCTCCAGATCAGAATTACTTTTATTTTGGCAACTATGGCCTTAGGTTTGAAATTTACTTTGAATTTCCTAACACTGTTACCGGGTTCTATCCTGGCCCGCGTAATGGCTTTGGGACCAGGAGGTGCTGGTGTACTTACCTGCCTGGCACTCCACTTCCCTGGGACTGCTTGACAGCCCAGGTAGTGTAACTCTAGTCCAGGCCATATATAAACGCACACATATATATATATATATTCTATCCAAACTGTATTTTGATATTCATAGAGATATATTCATATTGAAATATGCTTAGAATGAGATTATATATAATTTTGCAATTTTATTAATTACAATTTGAGGGATCTACCTGAAAGCCTAGGGCCCAGGGATAGGCAACCTTCGGCACTCCAGATGTTGTGGATTACATGCCCCTATAATGCTCTTACACCCATATTGCTGGCAAAGCATTATAGGAGGTGTAGTCCAAAACATCTGGAGTGCCAAAGCTTGCACGCCCTGTATATAACCTTGTAACTTTCCAAAACACCATAAAACCTGTACATTGGGGGTACTGTTATACTCAGGAGCCTTCGCTGGATACAAATATGAGTGTTTCAAACCAGTAAAACTTTATTACGACGCAATCAGGGAAAGTGCTGTTTTTGTGGGGGAAAAACCCACATGTGAATTCTAACTTTGGCCCATGTTTGTGATTAAGCGGCTACTGAAAAACGACTGGACATACCCCATTTGGAATACCCTGGGTTGTCTACCTTTTCAAATAGTATGCCACGATGGGGGTATCTTTTACTTTTTGGCTGCCATACAGTCCATCAAAGGCAACAACCAATTTGGCAAAACCAAGAATGGGCAAGTCTTATATTGGACCTAGTAACTTAACAAAACACCATGAAACCTGGACCATATGGGGCGGGGGGGGGGATAAAACAGAACTTGTGAAACATTACTGAACACAAATATAAGTGTTTTAGAGCAGTAAACCATTCACCATATAATGCTTTGATATCTGTTAATTTGTGAAAAATTTAGAAAACAAAAGTGCTGCTAGCTTTGGCCCACGTATGTGATTAAGTGGCTACTAAAAAGGATTGGACATACCCCATTTTGAACAACCTAGGTTGTTTACTTTTTCAAATGGTATGTCATAATAGGGATACATTTCATTCCTGGGTTGCCATAAGGTCTCCAAGGCAACATGGGCCCAGCAAAGCAATCTGGCAAATTTGAATATCTAAAAACGGGGAAAGCTCTGTTTAAACCCTGAAACTTTCCCAAAACCCTGTCAAATCTGTACATTGCGTTTACAGTTTTAGTCATGGGACATCACTAAACACAAATATGTGTATTTTATCCCAGGAAAATATATTATTATGACAGTTAAAATGCCATGCAGAGCTTCTCATAATTTTTAGATTATATTCATATTAAACAGTTTCATATATGAATATTTGATTTGAAATAAAAGCCCTGTTTCGCCTGTATAAAATGATACATTGTACAGCGCTACGGAATCTGATGGCGCCATATAAATAATAAGTGTGGGTGCACTTAAAGGAACACTATATGATTAGGAACACAAACCTTTTCCTGACCCTATCGTGTGAAAACCAACAGTGCCAGGCGCTGATCCCTCTCCTTGCTGACATCTACATTGTAGTCAATCCAATGCTTTTTATTGGGGCAAGCATTGGAATGGCTAAAATTGTCAAGGAGGTAGGGCCAAATACCGACTTGGCCAATCAGCACCTCCTTATAGAGATGCATTAAAATCGATGCATCTCTATGTGGAAAATTCACTGTGCAGCACTACCCCAAGAAGCACCCCCAGTGGCCATTTGAGGAGTGGTCACTGGAGGTGTCCCTATATGGGCAATATAAACACAGCTTTTCCCCTGAAAAGGCAGTGTTTACATGAAAATGACTGCAGAGCATTATTATACTCACCAGAACAACTGCATTAAGCTGTAGTTGTTCTGGTGACTATAGTGTCCCTTTAATATGAAAGGGGTAAATTATAGTTGAACAAACTTATAGCACAAATTCCAGGTTTTGTTTTGATTAGAACTTGCACAATTGCCTCCATCCTTAAGGGGTTAACCAGGATAGTCTAACACTAAATCACACAATGATGCCCTCTCCTCCACCTGCAACATACCTGTATATAACACTGCATTGTTCCCTGTATCACAAAGCAACAATTCACAGCTGATGCCTGTGTAAATACTTATTTTAGAAACATAAAATGTGGGCAGATAAGAACCATTTGGCCCATCTAGTCTGTCCAATTTTCTAAACACTTACATTAGTCCCTAGCCTTATCTTATAGTTAGGAAAGCCTTATGCCCATCCCACGCATGCTTAACCCCTTAAGGACACGTGACATCATTATTCCCTTTTATTCCAGAAGTTTGGTCCTTAAGGGGTTAAACTCCCTCACTGTGTTAACCTCTACCACTTCAGCTGGAAGGCTATTCCATGCATCCACTACCCTCTCAGTAAAGTAATGCTTCCTGATATTATTTTTAAACCTTTGTCCCTCTAACTTAAGACTATGTCCTCTTGTTGTGGTAGTTTTTCTGCTTTTAAATATAGTCTCCTCCTTTACTGTGTTGATTCCCTTTATGTATTTAAATGTTTCTATCATATCCCCCCGTCTCGTCTTTCCTCCTGTATGAACCAGTTTAGTAGCCCTTCTCTGAACTCTCTCTAAAGTATCAATATCCTTCTGAAGATACGGTCTCCAGTACTGTGTACAATACTCCAAGTGAGGTCTCACCAGTGTTCTGTACAATGGCATGAGCACTTCCCTCTTTCTACTGCTAATACGTCTCCCTATACAACCAAGCATTCTGCTAGCATTTACTGCTGCTCTATTACATTGTCTGCCTACCTTTAAGTCATCAGAAATAATCACCCCTAAATCCCTTTCCTCATATGTTGAGGTTAGGACTCTATTAAATATTCTGTACTCTGCCCTTGGGTTTTTCCACCTGGCCCAGTCCAAAAGAAATCCGCTCTCATCCCCAACATTTAAATCTTACTCCCACCTTCTCTTCCTTTCCATCCTACTACTCCTAGCAGCAGGTGATGTCTCTCCAAACCCTGGTCCCTCCTCTTCTCAGCCACCTGGTACAAACACCAGAAACCACAACAACCTAATACCCATTCCATGTAATTCTCACTATAATTCCTCTTTTAAAGCTGCCCTCTGGAATGCACGCTCTGTGTGCAGCACCTTTAAATCTACTTCCATCCATGACCTATTTATCTCACACTCCCTAAACATACTTGCACTAACAGAAACATGGCTCTCTCCCTCTGATACTGCTACACCTGCCTCACTGTCTTTTGGTGGTCTTCACTTTACCCACAACCCAAGACAAGCAGAGATTAAAGGTGGCGGTGTAGGTTTTCTTCTCTCACCCCACTGCACCTTTAAAACCCTGTCTACCCCCCCTTCCCTCTCTTTCCCATCATTTGAAATTCATTCAATTCGCCTTTTCAAACCCTTCTCTGCTAACATTGCCGTAATCTATCGTCCCCCTGGTTCCCCTCTCCTCTTCCTTGACCACTTTGCTGCCTGGCTACCCTACTTCCTCTCTTCCAACATCCCATCCCTAATTCTTGGAGACTTCAATATTCCCGTTAACCCACCTTTGACCCCAGCAGCCTCTAAACTACTTTCAATCACTTCCTCCCTTGGACTTTTGCAGTGGGCTAATTCTCCCACTCATGTAGCTGGCAATACCCTCGACCTTATTTTCTCTTCTTCATGTACAATATCTAATATCTGCAACACCCCATTTCCTCTCTCTGATCACCACCTCTTATCATTTGCTCTCAATTACCCCCTCACCCAACAATCTCAGCCTAACCCCCCTCAGCTCAGGAGGAACCTTAACTCTATTGACCTCAAGCAGCTGTCAGCTGACATTGATTCACAACTGCTATCCATCCCTTCCCTCTCCTGTCCCTCACTGGCCATCTCCACATATAACACTACCCTCACATCTGCCTTGAACGCTGCAGCCCCACTCAAAACATGCACCTCGAGGAGACACGACCCCAACCTTGGCATAATAAATCAACACGCTATCTGCAGAGTTGCTCCCGTTGTGCTGAACGCTCCTGGAGGAAGTCCCGCACCCAGGCAGACTTTCTCCATTATAGATTCATGTTGCTTTCATACAGCGCAGCCCTCGCCCTCGCCAAACAGTCATACTTTTCCTCTCTCATTAGTTCATGCTCCCGCAATCCCAGACGCC